TTTTTTGAGACAGGGTTTCTCTGTGGCTTTGGAGCCTGTCCTGGAACTAGCTCTTGTAGACCAGGCTGGCCTCGAACTCACAGAGATCGGCCTGCCTCTGCCTCCCGAATGTTGGGATTAAAGGCATGCGCCACCACTGCCTGGCTTAAATTTCTTTCTAAAAAAGAATTCATCTTTAAAAACAGAATAAAGTCCTAAATCTGTCAGAGGCAACTCAGGAACCATGGTGATGCCAGAAGGGAACAGAATGGGTGTGTGGGACAGCACTATGCTCTCACGAAACCTAAAAGACAGGAGAATCGAAGCCCACAAAGAATGTAGAGAGAGAAGAGAAGGAACAGTTTAGAATCATAAAGTATTACTAAATACTTCAGAATGCAAAAGCATCATTTCCAATCCTCATTAAAACAATAAGCCAGGAATCAGGTGTGGTGGCACTTGCCTTAAACCCCAGCATCCAGGAGGCAACAGCAGGAATATCTATCTCTGTGACTTCAAGGCCAGCATTGTCTACATAACAAGTTCAGGCCTGTCAGCAGTACATGGACCCTCTCTCAAGAAAACCCAGAACTAAGTCATGAGCTGGAGAAACGGCTCAACAGCCAAGAGCATTTGTTCCCTTGCAGAAGGTCTCTGTTCACTTCCCCCACAAGGTAGCTCACAATTGACCACAACTTCCTGTCCAGGGCGTCCGGTGGTGCCTTCTCAGCTCTTCAGGCACCAGACATGCGCATGATATATATACACACTTGCACAGGATGAATGAAATGAGGACATGGCCACTCCAAGATATGGTTAAGGAGGTTTTTATCTTAGACGTGAGGGCGTGAGCATCCAGAGGCATTTTTAAAAATCTAGATTGAACAGAGCTAGCAGAACAGACCCAGACCATGAGAGGAGAGAGTGGGGGAGAGCAAGAGAGGAAAAGAAGAGAGGGGACCAGGAGAAAGAGAAGAACCAAAAGAGTGTCATGGTCAAAGTAAAACAGTGCCATTCCCCCAGCGGCTGCAGCAGGCAACGGGCCACGAGGAGCTGCAGTGGTAAAATGCTGTGGTTCCTGAGTGGCCCATGGACAAGGAGGGCCAGCGGGTCCCAGGCTAGGAGCTGCTCCACAGGTGGGACACAGAGACACAGAGAAAGAGAGAGAGAGAGAGAGAGAGAGAGAGAGAGAGAGAGAGAGAGAGAGAGAGAGAGAATTGGTGGGGGAGAGGAGAGGAGCCATGGCAGCAGCTACCCTTCTGGAAAGAAACAGAAAGGAGGAGCTGGAGAGATGGCTCAGAGGTTAAGAGTATTGCCTGCTCTTCCAAAGGTCCTGAGTTCAATTCCCAGCAACCACATGGTGGCTCACAACCATCTGTAATGAGGTCTGGTGCCCTCTTCTGGCCTTCAGGCATACACACAGACAGAATATTGTATACATAATAAATAAATATAAAAGAAAAGAAACAAAGGAAGATCTGCTTGCCTCAGCAGATGGGGGAGGGAGTGGGCAGGGCTTGTCTCTTAAAGGAATAGGACAGACCATTACAGAGAGCACATGGTCAAAATGGCTGGGTTATGTAGGAGACAGATTAGAGGACCCAGGACTCTGTAGCATGTACTTGCTATGCTGGGAGAGCCTGGCAGCCATCATTCACTTTGATATGCTTTTTTCTTTTTTCTGGTTTTTCGAGATAAGACAGGGTTTCTCTGTGTAACAGTCCTGGGCTATCCTGGAACTCATTCTGCTGACCAGGCTGGCCTGAAACTCACTGAGATCTGCTGCCCTCTACCTCCCAAGTGCTGAGATTATAGGTGTGGGCCACCACTTGAAATGTTAATAGGCACCTCTGTTAGACATTTGTCCAGGTTTCTTTGGGACCAAACACAAGCAAAACACTCATATACATAGAATAAATAAATCTGAAAAATAAGATTGAAAATGAAAACCAAACCAGACCTGAAGCAAGCATACACACACACACACACACACACACACACACACACACACACGCACACATACCTTGCTCAAAGATGAAGATGGGGGCTAGAGAGATGGCTCAGCAGTTAAGAACACTAACTGTTCTTCCAGAGGTCCTGAGTTCAATTCCCAGCAACCACATGCTGGCTTGCAACCATCTATAATGCAGGCAGAAGAGGGTACACATAATAAAGAAATCTTCAGAAAACAAAACAAAGCAAGGAGGACTATATTGGAGACTAAAGGATCTGTGACATTTGTAAGTCAGTCATCCTCCACACAGGGTTTCTAAGACGGCAGCAGGTAAGTGAAGGGCAGGGAATGTTACGCCCACGTCTGAGTGCTCCTCTAGCGAGGGACTGTGCTCGCGCGCACGGCTTCTTCCACTGCTTCTATGCTCTTCTCTGACTATACTATAACCACATCGTTTACTCCTTCTCTTGCTTGCATCCAAGCATCCCATATGTCCTTCTTTGCTCTTGTCAAATTCACGGTTTCTTTCTTCTTTAATTTTGATTACACTCATATATGTATAGACATGTGTTTCTAAATACAACAGTCATAAATACAACCTTCTCAGTCTGTATAAACATTAGTTTACACACACACACACACACTTTCAGGGCTGTATAGTTTTTCTCAACGGGGGACCAGGCTGTACAACTCTACATTTTGATTGGTTGTGGTTTTCTGTAATAGTCCCTGTTGCAAAGAGAAATTTCCTTGATGAGGGGTGAAGACTAAACTTACCTGTGGGTGTAAGGACTAATGTTTAGATTGTAGTTAGGGATTATGCTGGTTTAGTGCTTGTGGATTCTCCTCCAAGTCTCAAGACTTCACCAGATGTAGGTTTCCAGTACCAGGCATGTTTTCCCTCTTGTGTAGTGTGAGTCTTAAGTCCAATTAGAGAGCTGTTGGTTACTGCCAGAGTATATACGCCACTACTGCACCCTTGGGGTATCATGCCATGCTGGTCATTGATGTGGCTCATAGGTGGCATAGCTGGGTAGGTGTGTTGTTTGCTTCTCTCCTTTGGAAGCTTGCATGATGCCCTCTGGTTCCATGAAAGCTAGTCTTCAGGGAGGAGACAAAGTTTCTCTGTGTAACTGCCAGACTGTCCTGGAACCAGGCTGGCCTTGAACTCAAAGATCTCTTGCCTCCCAGGTCCTGGGATTAAAGACATGCACCATGCCTGGCTGACCATGGGAATGTGTGTAAAGGAAAACATTTAATTGACTCTGGCTTACAGTTTCAGAGGTTTAGTCCATTACTGTCATGGTTGTATACAAGCAGAGATGGTGCTGGAGAGGCAGTTCAATGTTGGAAGAAGGGCCACTTGTTGGTTCCTGGCTGCCTGGGTAGCTTAGACCCGAAATAATCACACAGAAACTGTATTAATTAAATCACTGCTTGGCCCATTTGCTCTAGTTTCTTACCTGTAACTCTCACATCTTAATTTAACCCATTTCTAAATAATCTGTGTATTGCCAACGTGGCTGTGGCTTACCAGCTAAAGTTTCAGCACATCTGTTTCTGGCGGAGGCTCTATGGCGTCTCTGACTCTGCCCTCCTTTCTCCCAGCATACAATTTAGCTTTCCCCGCCTAGTTCTATTCTTCCCTGCCAAAGGCTCAAAGCAGTTCTTTATTCATTAACCAATAAAAGCAACACATAGACAGAAGGACCTCCCACACCAGTTCAGAGTTCGACATCTTGATCCACAGGCAACAGAAGTGAACGGTGTGTCCTACGCTGGGTGCAGCTTGAATACAGGAGACCCCAAAGCCTGCCCCCACAGTGACACACTTCCTCCAGTAAGACCACACCTCCTAACAGTGCCGCTCCCTCTAGGCCAAACATTCGAACACGAGTTTGTGGGAGCCATACCTATTCAAACCACCACACGGGACAATCATATGTTCAGGTTTCTCCTGTCTTCCTTTTCTATGTAGTAATGATTTGAGTTTTATCTCTGCATTTTCAAGGGTCTTATCTTGTGAAACTTAGTAAATCCTCCAACAATGAAACAAAACAACCAAGTATCAACCCCACAGTTTTATTTGTAAAGAACAAAGCATGAAAAGTCATATTTAAATCCAAAACCTGAAAAATCCATGTCAGTTTGTTCGATATGTTAAAGTGCTTAATATCACAATACTCTTCAGACTTTCTATTATGTTCAGATGGGGGAGGGGGAGAGAATTCCAGTTGTGACATACAGAGTTAATAATACAAAGGGAAGCAATATAATTTAAGTGGAGAACTATTAAAAAACAAACAAACAAAAACACAGGGTACCTTTACGTGTGGTTCAAGTGCAGCACATTTTTTTTCTGTTTTATATCCTCATTTGACCTTAATATTCCTTTCCACATCAAAATGTGTTTAAAATATACACTAGATCCAACCCACAAGTAACTGGAACAAGCATGGCTCCTTCCTAAATAACTAAGGATATGACAGAACCCTTTCAGAGAGGGGCGACGTTTACTTGGTGATTTCTTTCCAGTCTGATATAAATATGAATACCTCAGTTTGTCTTTCGCGAGTCAGTTTTGACCCTATCCTTGAGAGAGGTGTCAGATTTGGGGAGGTATGATCACTGTTGAATTTCCTGTTCTCTTTTGCTGGGGTGCTGAGCCCAGGCCTGGGTATGCTAAGCACACGTATCAGTGAGCTCCACTCTAGCCCACCCTTAGGTTCCTTTCCTCATACTGTAACAGCACACGACTTCAAAAAGCTTCAAATTCGGTTTGATCCAGCATATGTATTTTAATAGAAATAAGGGACATCTGTCTCCAAGTTATGCTAAATGATAATGCAATTGTTATATTAGAAACAAAGATTTCCAAAAACACAAATGCTTGCCAAGTGTGGTGGGGAACACCTTTGATCCCAGCGCTCAGGAGGCAGAGGCAGGTGGAGTTCAAGGCCAGTCAGGTCTACCTAGTGAGTTCCAAGACAGGCTCCAAAGTCACACAGAGAAACCCTGTCTTGAAAAACAAACAAAACACCAAACCAAATCAAACAAAAAAATTAATTAATTAAAAAAATAATAATAAAATAAATCAAACCAACCAGAGACAAAAGACAGAGAGGCTTGGAAACAGATGAACTCTATCAATCAAGGTGTGCTAATACTGAAATATGTAAGTTCAGAATGCTCTGTCAATACCATGAAAAGGGTCAACTAGCCTCTGTAGACCTCAGAGAAAATACAATTCCCTTTAAAAAAAAAAACCTTTTGAAAAGATATCATTCCTAGATATTTACGTTATGAGGAGCTCTGTCCTCAATGCCGTCAAACATTTTCCTGGGGATCTGATACTCTTGTCTGTTGTCTGCTGCCTCATATTCTGAAGTACTTTAGAGATATTAACACATGCTACACAGGAATGATTATCTCCATCTATTTTTCTTTATATTTACTTATATGTGCTTACTGTCAGAAAAGTAGAAGCAAATTGGTATTATTCAGTGTTATAGCAGTTCATCAAAATAATTTCTTAAAAAGTCATGTTAAATAAACCCCACAGAGCTACAAAAGGTACAGTAAGTATAAACATTTAAAATGAATCCTGCAAGTTTTAGGTTTCCTCTATCAGTGTTCATTCCGAGCGGGAAACAAGGTCATGCTGGGAGGCTCCACTCTGTTCCTGGGCGGTCACGGTAAGGTGCTGAGGGTCCCCTCCTCCTGGAGCACAGACAACTTCTCATATGTAATATGCAAACCCAGTCACCATGGAGGTGACATGAAGGTGCTTGAGACTGAGGCTTTAGGATTGAAGAAAAATACTTGGACAGTAAACTTTTGAAGAACTCAAGATTTTGGCAATTTTATTTTTGCCTGCTGAGGATAGAGCCCCAGGTTTTGTACATGCTACCTAAACACTCTACCACTGCACCACATCTCCAGGCAGAGCAAACTTAATAAAACTTAATAAAAATAAGCAGTTCTGATTTTCATTTACTTTGAGGTGATTCTAAAGTATAGTACTAGTTAAAAAAACACACAGCAAGAAGGGTGCCTGTTGTATGGTCCTTATAAACGTGGGCACGGAGGGCTATGTTTTGAGAAATCTCCTTCTGTTGTGATGTAAATATTTTCCATATCGACTCAGTTTGTTATAAACCACATGATAAGTCATCATTTGCAAGAGGTAACTCCAAACTCAGTGGGAGCATTCTTATCTATCACATCCTAAGGTCTTTATGGTGTTTCTACACATTGAATTTATTCCATAAGGCAAAGGGAAATTCAGAGAAATGGGCATACGGGTCAGTCAGGATGCTCCCAAGAGGCCTAGCTGTGTGAGCAGGAGCCACACCTGGGAGAAGACCAGCCTTCAGGAGGATGTACAGTGGTTTTAACCAGTCACTTCACTAGTCCACCCAAATGACACCACAGGGAACAGAACTTTATAGGTATTTTTTTGTTTGTTTGTTTGTTTTTGGTATTACTGTAAGTAACAGTTCTAAGCACAGGAATGCAAGAGATGCAATGCCTAAGAGATTAAGGACAGTTTGTTGGGCAGGGCACTCGCTTGAATCCCCTCACTCAGGAGGCAGAGGCAGCTGGATCTCTGTGAGTTCCAGGTCAGCCTGATCTAAAGTAGAATTCCAAGGACAGCCAGGGCTACAAAGGGATATTCTGCTTTACAAACGAAAAACAAAACAACAACGGAACCATTTAAGTATCGGTCCTTATTAAGTACTACAGGAATATTGCTTCATATCTGTACAGGTGAATGAAGATTCAACAGAAGAAATACGACTAGGTAAGAATGCTTTGAAGGTTGGTCTCATGCAGCCTGGTGTGGTAAAATCCCTGTGTTGTCAAGGGGAAAAGGGCAAGAATGTAATCTTTGATTCTGTTCCCACGTATAAACCAAGAAGCCGTACTGGATGACTCAGTTGTAGCATACTAGCTTAGAATCTTCCTGGTGCTGTTTCAGGACGGTGGCCCTATGGGAAAAGGGAACAATAAAAGCCTGAAATGGACCATTTATAGCTCCTGGATGTTTCCCATAGTAGGTTCGTGTCTCTAGAATACTTATTTTAGGTAAACAAATCTCTGGTTCACCCAGGCCATCTGGAGCCCTAAGCCCTCCCTTCCCTTCCCATTCCCAGGAGCTGCTCCTCCTTGGCTGAGCGGTGTCTGATACAGGGAGTTAGGTCCCTCATCTATTAGCTTCTTCCTCTATAAATAAGGGAACGGCGCTGTTGGCAGGAGCCCAGGACCCTCAGGGGCTGCAGCCCCGCTCTTCGGCTACAAAGGGGAATAGACCCGGAGCTCTGCCGAGGCAGTTTTACTACTAACAGGGTATCAGCGCCTAATTAGAGGTCTCCGACTTAGCAGAAGATGAAGATTTATGTAATTGCTAACATATTTATTCAGCGGCAGGGCCTGAACTGCCCTGAGCCAATCGCTTTACATTTCCCTGAACACCCAGAAATGTTCACTCTTTCTCCCTGCTTCTGTTATTTGCATTATCATGGTCAACAAATACTTTCACAAAAGCATTCCAAATCACACAGAGACCTCCATTTCCTGAGGGGAGCGGGGTGGCTGGAACCTAACAAAGACAGGGCTGGTAGTCTAACTCTGGTTACAGACTGTAGATGGCCAAGTTAAAGTACCGAGTCACACTGGTTTTTGCAGTTACTATGACTAAACGGCTAATACTGAAATTCATTATCTCCACAGTGCTCTCAAATAACAGTAATAAAAATTCCAAGAACGAAGCTACTTCAGGCTAATCTTTCCAAAGTAAAGTAAAGAAGCTATAATCCCACACTTAAACACACTTCGCAGGACTTTCCTGTTTTCTTTCCGATGAGCCAAGCCCTTGGGACCTGGCAGTATGTGTGTGCCTGTGTTCGGAGACAGAGCCTCACTTTGTAGTCCTGTCTGGCCTGCAACTCAGAAAGATCCACCTGCCTCTGCCTCCCCAGTGCTGGGATTAAAGGTGCGCGCCACCCTTTAATCTGCTGGAGTCTGGTATTTAAAAGTGACTCATAATTCAAACATATTGAATGGTTTATAACCCAAAGGTAGATGAGGACTCTTGTACAGTATGTAAAGCTGTGTACATTCACCACACACAGGACGGAACTCCAGGAAGGACGGCTGCTTCACAACGATGCATTATGGGTTCCTTTGTGATACCTGGAGGGTTGCACTACGGACACATTTACTGGCTTCTTCCTGACTAGCACCGCTCTCCCCACCCCCGACATTTTTAAGCTACTTATTTTAAGTCACAGGAATATTCAATCTAAGAAAAGTATCTTATTAGAGTAATATAATTTCTTAAAGATAGCATATTTACACACATCTAACACATGAAAATACTCTGTTTTATACTAAATTTCAGGTTCAAATGAACTACAATACAGCACTTTGCCTCGTGTGCAGAGTGGAGATTGTTCAAACTGGGCTTCTACTGCACGGCACCGCCCAGGCAGTGCTCACTGTGACCAGACCAGTCCAGAGGTCCCAGAGCTGGGGAGGGTTCAGGAGCCAGCGCAGGATGAAGAGTTTCTGTCAGCAGGTTACACGTCTACTCCTTTGATTAGAGATCCTTCCAAGACTATGGTGAAGTCCTGAATAGTCTGTAGAATTCGGATAAGGGAGTTGACAGTCATGTGGTCTCGGAGAAGTGCGCTCTCCTCATACATTCGGGTGATGGCGGGACACTCCGCTAGCAATGGAATCCACTGTGGGAGCAGGTGATCCCTGCAGATCAAGCAGAAACAGCGTCTGAGCGCCCTCCTGTCTTTCCCTTTAATTATCAGGCAACTGAAACAACAGCACTACAATAAATTAAGAGTTCTCCTAGGAGCAGCTGTGGTGACTATGCCTGTTTAGTTCAAGCACTTGGGAAGCAGATGCAGGCAGATCTCTGAGTCCGAGGCCAGCCTAGTCTATGTAATGAGTTACAGGCTAGCCACAGCTACATAGTGAAACCCTGTCTTAAAATAAAATAAAAGTTCCCCAAAGAATCTTCTCCTGGGAGGAGGCTGAAGTCTTGGGTGCAGTCAGAGGAAGAACTCACCCACAACAAATACAAACAAACAAACAAACAAACAAAAAAAGGCAACTTGTCAGGTGACCTTGTAGGAGAGACTTGGCTCCTGACAATGATGGGAGGAATCACACCTTGGTGGGACTACTTTGTGGTTATGATCTCTTATCTCTTATTCAATCCTTTTCCTTAAGTCAGAGCCCTAAGATGGAGGAGGAGAATGTATTTCTGTCTCTCTTCCTAATGTGGCTATATTGAATAAACAACCCTTTTTCTGCTTTTCACTATGTTTGTGTGCCTGGGTGGGTTTGTGCCCTGTGCACACAAAGCCTATGGAGGCCAGAAGCGGTGGCCACACCCTCTGGATCAGGGTTATTGCTTCTTTGTTGCTGGATGTGGGTGCTGGGAACTGAACTTGGGTGTTCTGAACTTCCAGAGCTGAGTCATCTTCCAGACCCTGATTTCACTATTAATTTGGCTTTTACTTGGTTTAACCAAGTAGCTGAACCTGGCTTGTAGCACAAGCTGTGACCCACAGGTCAGGCAAGAACAAAAATCAATGTACACACGTTAGTATTTTCAATTGGCAGGGAAGGAGTTAGATGGTGACCAATCTGGCCAAATTCTGTGCTAATGTTAGCACACTTAGGAAATGAGTTTACATAAAAGGGAGTATTGGTCACACCCTGTTCCCCACCCTCCTGCCTGTCTAGGAATCAGGGTGCCTAGCTGCAGGCTTGTAATGAAAAAACTTCTCCATTCTCAGAAAGACGTAGGAATAGAACATACTTCCATCACCTGGGCTGATTCCCCTCCTCAGAGACCCTGCCATGCTGTCTGCACACACAAGGGCCTGACCATGTAAATGTTAGGTCTCACTCCATGCCCACGGCTCCTCCCAGCCCTTCTCCCCCCCTGCCCTTCCCTTCCCCCAGCCGGATCTCCTATAACTCAGCCACCTCTCTTGATCACAGGGTCCTCTCTTGCGCTCTCTCCCTATGGTCCAGTTTAGTCTGCTGGCCATGTTCAGCCTGGACTCTTCCCTCTGCCTGCTTTCTCCCCGACACCTACAGTAAAAATCTCCATACTTTAGGAGTCATATCATCATCCTTTTATTTCATTTTTGTTGTTGCTTTTGTTTTTCTGAGACAGGGCTTCTCTGTAGCTTTGGGGCCTGTCCTGGAACTAGCTCTTGTAGACCAGGCTGGTCTTGAACTCACAGAAATCCACCTGCCTCTGCCTCCCGAGTGCTGGGATTAAAGGCATGAGCCACCACCACCTGGCTCCTTTTATTTCATTTCTTTGTTCACTTAATAACTTTGCCAATTAACTCAGCATCCCTTGCTGGGATCCATCTCAGTGTCCCTCTCAAAACCTCCTGTATAAGTGCTGGCTGGAAAAGCTTTCTCTTAGCTCTCCTTATTTAGTTCATTCTAGCACCAAATTTACCCAGAGATTTGGAGTGGTGGTGAGAGAAATAATAAATGAGTTAAGGGCAGACATTCATGACTTCAAAGTTAAATAGTTTATCTCCTTTAATCNCCCCCCCCCCCCCCCCCCCGATTTCTTTATGTAGCCCTGGCTGTCTTGGAACTCACTCTGTAGACCAGGCTGGCCCTAAATTGACAGAGATACCCCTGCCTCTGCCTCCTGAGTGCGGGGATTAAAGATGTTCACCACCACCTGGTTTCTTTTAATCTTTTCATATTACTACTATTATTATAAATATTTTTAGTGGTGCTAGGGGTAGAATCCCAGGGTCTTGTGCACTTCAGGCAAGCACTCTGGCATGGTTTATATCTCAAGATTGTTTGCTTAAAAAATAAAATATCAGAGCCGGGTGGTGGTGGCGCACTTGGGAGGCAGAGACAGGTGGATCTCTGTGAGTTCAAGGCCAGCCTGGTCTACAAGAGCAAGTTCCAGAATAGGCTCCAAAACTACAGAGAAATCCTGCCTCAAAAAAATAAAATAAACAAATAAATAAAATACCATGGCTCAGTGGGTAAAGGTGCTTGTTGCCAAGTCTGATTACTTGAAACTTAGTTCCCATATGGATTCTCAAAAATTGTACTCTGACCTCCATATAGACTCCTGACATATCCCCAACCCCACACCCCTAGACACACACACACCCCAAACAGAGAAATAAACAAATGTGGTGGTGGTACACGCCATTAAACCCAGCACTCCGGGGGCAGAGGCAGGCAGATCTCTGAGTTTGAGGCCAGCCTGGTCTACAAAGCAAGTTCTAGGACAGCCAGGACTACACAGAGAAACCCTGTCTCCAAAAACAAATAAAAAAAGAATTCCAGGGGCTGGAGAGATGGCTCAGAGGTTAAGAGCATTGCCTGCTCTTCCAAAGGTCCCGAGTTCAATTCTCAGCAACCACATGGTGGCTCACAACCATCTGTAATGGGGTCTGGTGCCCTCTTCTGGCCTGCAGCTATACACACAGACAGAATATTGTATACATAATAAAGAAATAAATATTTAAAAAAAAAAAGAATTCCAGCACAATTAAGAACCACTTACAGCTTTTCTCTTTTTTCTAGCTGTAAAGCTACAATATTCTACTATTCCAGGAATCTGGCCAGAAGCCCTACTTATAGGGAAAAGGCATATTCTAAACCCCTTATTGCACACTAGTGGCTCTGGATTTTGCCCTGTCAGACTATAATTCCATCTAAGGCATCTCCAGAGCCACCCTATAATCTTAACTTTATCAAAAGACAGAAAGACGGGGCCAGGGGAGTAGTTTCTGAGACACTTTTGAGATGTAATTTGAGACCCACCAAAATGCTAAAACAGTTACTTGAAGAGTTTCCTTGAGAAGCCTGGAGCCCGTGCTCATCCTGGGCACACCTTGCTCCTTACTACACATCTACGGTTCTCCCTTGAGGAGCCCAGACTGCACACTCAGGTGTTTCTTCCACTTCTTTACTTAGGTGTGTCTCTTTCTCCTAAGCCTTGTGTCTAAGATCTGTGTTAAGATATCTTGTTTTAAAAACAAACAAAATAAACAAAACAAAACAAAAGAGCCGGGTGGAGGCCACACCTTTAATCCCAGCACAGGGGGCAGAGGCAGGTGGTGTGAGTTCAAGGCCAGCCTGGTCTACAAAGCAAATTCCAGGACAGCTAGAGCTGTCATACAGAGAAACCTTGTCTTGAAAAACAAAAAGCAAAAAGGAAAACAAAAACAAACAAAAAACCCAAAAACAAAAGAACAAAACAAAAAAGAGTATTTTAATTTTTCCTGAATCTATTTATTCTTTCCCCACCCCCACCCCCTTTCCACCCAGTGCTAGGGACTGAACCTATATCCTTAGGGTTCTACCACTAAGCTCCACCCCCAGCCCTTTTTTCTGTGTTTTGAGGCAGCGTCTCACTAATTCCCTAGTCTGCTCCAGAACTTGCTCTGTAGCCTAAGCAATGCCTAAAACTTGTGGTCTGTCTGTCGTTGCCTCCTGAAGAGCTGGTGTTACAGACCAGTGCCATGAGGAATGGCTAACTGGTTACTATGTGATTTGGGATAGTTTGCTAATCTATTTGGGTCTCATCTATTTCCTATTTTCTCACTTATAAAACAGGTAGATGGGGGCTGGAGACATAGCTCAGTGTTTAGTAGTACTTGCTGCTTTTGCAGAGGATCTAGGTTTAGCTTCCAGGACCCACGTGGTACTCACAACTGACTCCAGTGCTTTCCTCTGGTTTCTACAGGCACCAACCACTCAGCCCATATACACATGCAGGCAAAAGAACATACATGTATTTATTTTTGGCTTTTAGAGACAAGATTTCTTTCTGGCTGTCCTGGAATTTGATTTGCAGACAAGGCTGGCCTTGAACTCAAAGGTCTTCCCGCCTTTGTTTCCTGAGTGCTGGGATTAAAGGTGTGAGCCACCACACCTGGCAAGGAAACCATTTACACACAAAATAAAAATACAGAAATCTTTTTTAAGAAATGGGTATATAAGCTGCTATTGTAACACAAAGTTACTGAGAAAACAGCGGTCTCATAATAAAAGTTGGAAAGAAGAAACCCAAGAAAAATGGGCATAACCCTAGGGTATAACTTTCCTAGACTCATGCTACCCACACGCAGAAATAAGAAAAGCCTAACTCTGACTCTGTACCTTGTTCCAAGGCAAACTAGGATCTGGAATTTGCCGTCCTTCCCGATGCTCCTGGGTGCAGTATTTATAGCATTCACATAGTGGCAGAAGGTTTTGCAAGATGATTTCTGGATGAGTACATCGTCTTCATTGTCTAAAATCTGGTCAGTAGTTTCAAAATAGGCCACAGCTTTCTCTGAGGAAGACAAGCAGAATCACACAGTTATATACAGAAATATCAACACTCTATATGTAGTAAAAATCATCTGATTTACTCTGGAAACTCTACTGAGGCTTGGCATCATTGTCAGCCCTCTCATCCAAATCCTGACTTTCACTGACTTCAGAATGAATTGCAGAGATCTGTGGTTCGCGACAGAACACTGATTCGGTGCTGGGACCTAAAGGAGCCTGGGAGAGCACTGACTAAATCAGAACAGAGATGCAGTATGCAGACATCAGAGCCAGGAGAAATAAAATAAATTCTAAGCTTTCCAGAAAAGGGGGGAAACAAATCACTCTTAGCTGTCTTGTCAATTTTCCTTTCTTTGCTTAAAAGTTCTGAGTTCATGCAGGCCTGCTTTACAAACACAGTACGGCTCACTGAACCTTTAAAGAAACTGGGAGCTAAAATTCTTCATAACTAAAGAAAAATCACAAAACTTAGGATGCTTTTAAAAAGATTTATTTATCTTTATTTTACATGTATGGGAGTTTTGCCTGCCTGTCTGTCTGTGTACCATGGGAATACAGTACCTTCAGAAGCCAGTGAAGGGCATTAGATCCTTTGAACCACAGTTAAGGAGAGTTGTACGCCATCATGTGGATGCTGGGAACCGAACCCAGGTCCTCTGGAAGAGCAGCAAGTGCTCTTAACTGCTGAGTCATCTCTCCAGACCCCTCCTTTATTTTATTAAATACTTATTTTATGTGTGTGTGAGGCAACTTGTGGTAGTCAGTTCTCTCTTTACACCTTGTAGGGCCCTGGGACCAGACTCAATTCTTGTACTCATTGAGCCCTTATTAGTCTAAAAACATACAAGTGTATACTGCTTTTTATTTATTTAAAATGTTAGCTTTCGGGGGTTTTTAAAGAAACATTTCAGTGGCTTTATAATAGCGAACTTCTACTTAATTTACCTACGAAGTCCCAGATGAAGACATTCTTGTGAAAGATGCGGGCAGATTTGAACCCATGATGGAAAACTTGTTCCAGTGCAGCAACCAGGCCATTTTCTCCACACAGCAGCACCGTGAGGCTTCCTCTCTGTAAACCATAAGGTTAACACAGTGACAAAACAAAAACAGAAACAACACTAGAGGGGCTGGACAGATGGCTCAGAGGTAAAGAGCACTGGCTGCTCTTTCAGGACTGGGGTTCAGGTCCCAGCACCACATAACAGCTCACAACCACCCTTAACTATAGCTCCAGGGGAATCACTGTTCGTTTCTATCTTTCCAGGAATCAGGCCCGTGTGTAGCACACAGACATACATGCAAGCAAAAAAACTTATACATAAGAAATAAAGTAACCCCCACCCCATCCCACCCCAAACAATGACCACACTAGAGAAACAAGAGCTGAGTGAGGTAGCCAGGCAGGGGTGGTGCATGACTTTAATCCAGCACTCACGAGCAGAGACAGGCAGAGTGAGGCCAGTTGGTCTGTATAAAGAGAGCTACAGGACAGCCAGGGCTACACAAAGAAATTGTCTCAAACAAAACAAAACAAACAAAAGGGTCTACCCATAGGAACATAAGTTTCACTGCCCCCCTAATACCTCCTTTTCAGGTTTGTGGAAGTGCTTCACGATGTTGTTCACAGCTTCTCCAATCCCTTCCTGGATCTGCCCAGCATTGGGCTCTGCAAAACAATCACTATTGTTGACATTTAAAAAAAAGATTTATTTATTATGTATACAGTGATCTGCATATATATACACGCATGCATGTATGTATTTGTGTGTATTTATATATATGTCCTATTGTTTACATTCTTGTCAGAAATAAATGAACCAAAATACTATGGGATGGTCAACTGTAAGTCTCTGTAGGAAAAACTTCATCTAAGCAAGCTAGCTTTTCCAGAGACTCAATGCAGTTTGCCAATGGACAAAATGGCCAAGTCCAATGGCGACGCACTTGAAAGGAATCCAAGAAATCCTCAAATCCCAGCCACACTACTTACAAACTATAACTCAAGTCAAGTTGGTGCGGGACAATTAATTGTCTGTATTCTGTCAATTATGCCTTAAATAAATGCTGACTGGCCAATAGCCAGGCAGGAAGTATAGACGAGATAACCAGACAGGAAGTAGAGGCGGGTCAATGAGAACAGGAGAATTCTGGGAAGGAGGAAGCCCATTTCTCCCCAGTCCTGCCCAGACACAAGGCAGAAGATAGGAAGATGTGACCTGCCCTGCTGAAAAAGGTACTGAGCCATGTGGCTAATACAGATAAGAATAATGGGCTAATATAAGTTATAAGAGTTAATAAAAAGCCTGAGCTAATGGGCCAATCAGTTTATCATTAATATAGACCTCTGTGTGATTTCTTTGGGGCTAAATGGCTGTGGGACCTGGTGGGAGGCCAGAAATCAGGCAGGACAGAAACTCCACTAACATCAAGTGTCTAATTTTCTCTGGTTTTTCTCAATTGAAAATATTTAAAAACAAAACAGAACAAAAAAAAAACCTAACAAACTAACAAACTTCCCTGAGAAAACAGAACAAGATATTCAATGCAATCACCTGGCACCTCTCGTGAAGCACCAACAACTCTCTAGACGTGAGGGGTGGAGTGGGGAAGACCCCTTCATCATTCATCATTACTCAGAGGTTCCCTGCCAAGAATCATGTGGGTGTGTGCTAAGGCAGCTGAGGCTCTCAGTGAAGTTCTGCTGCTGTGGTTTAAGGGAAGAGGCCAGGTGATGCCCTGGCTACAGGTTAGGCTTTCTTCTCTTCCTGACTGGTCATCTCCTTGCTCCATTCTCCCTGTGAGCACTTGTTCATCTATGCCTCTTTCTAGATAGTTTGGAAGGCTGCAGGAATGGGACCTGAATCACTGTGGTGGTTAGAATGATTTCCATAGGCTCATATATTTGAATGCTTGGTCCCAAGTTGGTGGAACTATTTAGGAAGGATTAGGAGGAGTGGCCTTGTTAAAGGAAGTATGTGCTTCAAGGTTTCAAAAGTCCCCACCTCTGCCTCAAGACTGCAGTTCAAAGTACAAGCTTTCGTGTATTGCTACAGTGCCTCCCCTACCTGCCTGCCGCCATGCTTCCTGCCAGACTGTCATGGACCTACCCTCTGAAACTAGCAACCTGAATTAAATGCTTTCCTTTAGAATTTGCCTTGGTCATGATGTTTTAATCACAGCAACAGAAAAGTAACTAAGATAAAACAACTCTGCATACCACATACTAAAACTAATTCATTTATTTTTAGGGTCTTATGTAGCTCTAGCTGCTATCAAACTCACTATGAATTTGAGGAAGTGGATGGCTTTGTACTGCTGATCCTCTTACTTTGACATTTTGAACAGTGGAATTATTAACCGGAGTCACCATGCCTGGTTTATGTGATGCTGAGAACTGAACCAAGCACTTCCTTCTTGCTAGACAAGCCCTCTCTCAACAGAGGTATGACATCCATGTCGTGGTTTGGAGTAGAATGGCCTCCACAGCCTCATATATTTGAATGCTGCATGTCTGGTTCCCAGTGGTAGACTGTTTATGAAGGAGTAGGAGGTGTGTCAATGAGGATGGGCTTTGAGGTTTCAAGGATTTATTTATTTATATGGATGTTTTGTCTGCATGCATTATGGTTTTCTGTCTCTTTAAGAGATAAGCCATGCCCACTCTGCACACCAGAAGAGGGCATCAGATCCCACAGGACTACAGTTATAACTGGTTGTGAGCCACCATGTGAGTGCTGGGAATTAAACTCTTAACCATGGAGCCATCTTTCCAGCCTCATGGTTTTTTTTTTTTTTTTTCTGTTCTCATCTTGTGAATCAGATGTGAGCTCTACGGTACTGCCCCAGCACCACTGCCAGACCGTCACTGATGTGGGAGTGTCATATATCAATCTGTTGATTTCATTGGTTAAGTTATAATAAACCAGCTGCTTGGCCTCATGGCTTGGAACATAGATGGGAGGAGTAAACAGAATAGAATTCTGGGCGGAAGAGGAAGTGAGGTCAGACTCTGCTCTGCTCCCGGAGACTCAACAGCTCTGCTCTCTGGAGCAGAGACACCATGATGGATGGAGGCTAGAATCTTCCCGGTAAGCGCACCTTGGGGTGCTTACACACATCATTAGAAATGGGCTAGTCCAGGTGCGAGAATTAGCCTGTAAGGGTTAGAGTTCATGGGCCAAGCAGTTCTTAAATGAATACAGTTTGTGTGTTGTTATTTCGGGCATGAGCTAGCCAAGCGGCCGGGGTGTTGGGGACGCAGCCCCGCCGCGCCCTTATTTCAACACATCACCATAGTAACTGTGGACTAATCCTCTGACACTGTAGGCAAAGTCCCAATTAAATGCTTTTTTCTTTCTCCCTTCCTTTCCCTTCCCTCCCCTCCCTTCGCTTGTCTTCTTTTTGAGACAAAGCTTCTCTATGTAGCCTTGGCTATCCTGAACTTACTCTGCAGACCAGGCTGGCCTTGAACTCAGAGATCTATTGGCCTCTGCTCCTGAATGCTGGGATTAAAGGAATGTGCCACCACTGCCTGGCTTAAATCTTGCTTAGGTCATGGTGTTTTGCCATAGCAATAGAGCAAGCAGTAACTAAGACAATCCTTGATTCCAAGAATAGTTTTAAAATAAAAAAAGGTAAGCAAATTTTACCTAGAGTCAGAAGTAGAAATAGGCAATAAGAGAAAAATGGGGTGTGTGTGGGTTGGGTGTAGTAGTGCATACGTTAATGCTAGCATTTGGAAGGCAGAGGCAGAGTTAGGCAAATCTTTGTGAGTTAAAGGATAGCCCAACTGCGTAGTGAGTGTGTGTGTGTGTGTGTGTGTGTGTGTCTGCAGCTTGCAGCTCCAGGGGATTCACTGCCCTCTTCTGGCATTCAAGGGCACCCCCACCCCACCCCAGCCCCACAAATAAAATAAATCTTAAAAGGGGAAAGGAAACTGTTTAGTTCTACAGCACTTGCTCAGCACACAAAGCCTTTCTTTCACAGAGATCACGTGATATGATAGCTTTTTAGGCAAGGCGTGGTAGGCCACACCTTTAATCCCAGCATTTGGGACAAAAGCAGGTGCGTCTCTGTAAACTCAAGGTCAGCCTGGTCTAGGGCGATGCCAGGGGGTGAGAGGATGTGTGTCTGTTCATGCATGCACAAACATGCGTGCTCTTGCACACGTGAAGGTATTATGTGTCTTCCTTTAACAATCTCCACCTTATTTTTTGAGACAGGGTCTCTCACTGATCTCAGAGCTCTCAGGCTGGGTTGTGTTAGGTATTAGATCCCTGGTTACAGGGTTCCTCTGCCACCGCCGCAATAAGACAAATCAAACAGAATTAATAAACCCAGATTTAATAAACAGGGCAATGCAAAGCAGAGCAGCCCTGGGTTACTCTCAGAAGGGCAGGAAAGAGACCACAGGGCAGATCTATGGTCTGGGCCTTAAATAGCCTGTAGGCGGTCTTGAGCAGTTCCAGGGGAGCAGCTGTCAATGGCAGGCTTTCCCAGGGGCAGGGTCTGGGATAGGAGGAATGGGGCTGGAGGGAGCTTCCCAACAGTGAACTTTTCCATGGGTGCTGGAGGTCTGAACTCAGGTCCTCAGGCCTGTGAAATACTTGACTCACCGAGCCAGCTTCCCAAGACCATCAATCTTACTTGTCTACTTATTTACATTTTTTTCTCCCCAAAAAACTCCTCAAATCTTGCTTTTTTTGTTTTTTTCAAGACAGGGTTGGTTTCTCTGTAGCTTTGGAGCCTGTCCTGGAACTAGCTCTTGTATACCAGGTTGGCCTCGAACTCACAGAGATCCACCTGCCTCTGCCTCCCGAGTGCTGGGATTAAAGGCATGTACCACCACTGCCCAGCTCGAATCTTGCTTTTTAAAATTTATTTTTATTACTTTAGTTATGTGTATGTGTGGTTGGGGTCAGAGGTGGCTGTGAGCTGCCTGACGTCTCTGGAAGAGCGGTATGCTCTCCACTGCGGAGCATCCCTCCGGTCCCCCATTTACCTTACATTTCTGAGACAGGGTCTCTCACGGAACCTGGTGCTCATCAGTCTAGCTAGGCCGGCTGGTCAATGAGTTCTGCACCTCCCACACTGGGAATCGAACTCAGATTCTTATGCTTGGGAAGAAAGCATTTCACCTTCCGAGTCACTCCCCAGCGCCTTGTTTTTAAAACCCCTCATCATAATTCATTAACACAACTGTCTTCTGGAAGATGGGCCACAGATGCTTACAACACCCGAGGCCCACTAGGGACAACTCACTGGCAGGCTTCCCCGTTAGGGAAGTAATACTGAGTCTCCTGGTTGTCGTGGGAGACTTCTGCTGTGGTGGAGTCCGACACTGCTTTCCCAGGTCTTCATCTGAAGCCGATGTCATCAATTCTCCAATAAGAATTCTCTCCAAACTTCCATCATCAATGCCTTTCCCCAGCCACCGCCCACATGGGAACCTGATAGGGTAGGGGGAAAAATCTTTTGAATCTACTTTTGTTGTTGTTGTTGTGAATTTACTCCAGTCTCCGGAGATCCTATGAATCTCCATTTTTAAAACTAGATTTTTGTTTTTTCATTTTGAGATAGGAGTCTTACTATGTTGCTAAGGCTATCCTAAAATTTACTATGTGAAGGCTATCAGGCTGGTTCCTACCTCTAGGCAATCTTCTGTTTTAGTTTCTAGAATACTGGATTACAGGTGTTTATGACTGGCTTCTACTAGTTTTAATTAAAGGTTTAAAAATGGCATTGTAAGTAGCACAAATAATAAAATCCCAGAGGCAGATACTGGGGTTCAAGCTGAAGATCAGAAAAGCAAAGCAGCAAGGCAGTGGTGGCGCACACCTTTAATCCCGGCACTTGGGAGGCAGAGGCTGGGGATCTCTGTCAGTCTGAGGCCAGCTTGGGTCTACGAGCTTGCTCCAACAGAAACTCTGTCTCAAAAAACCAACCAAAAAAACAAACAAACACCCCTCCACCCCCAACCAACAACAACAACAAAGAAATCAAAGCAGCCATGCCACCAGAGAGTTCTCACCTCTACCAAGGCTCAGACAAACTGAGGTGATCCTGTCCTCAGCATGACTGCAGAGTGCAGTGCTCTCCACCAAACCTCAGACTGCAGACTGAGCCCTCAGCTCCTGTCTCCTCCCATCTCTCTAGTGCTGGAATTAAAGGTACGCACCACCACTGCCTGGCTTCTAAGGTAACCAGTGTGGCTGCTGGGATTAAAGGTGTGTACCACCACTGTCTGGCCTGTATGGCTGACTAGTGTGGCTAGCTTTGCACTCTGATCTTCTGGCAAGCTTTATTTATTAAAACACAAATAAAATATCACTGTAACTGTAGGTGAAGTCCATGATGCTAATATGAAAACACCAAGTCCTCTTAACCATCAAGCTATTTCTGTAGCTTTCACAATCTTGGGGTTGGACTCACAGGCAGTTGTGAGCCGCCTGAGATGGCTGCTGGAATCTGAACCTGGTTTACCTGCAAGAGCATCAGGTGCTCCTAACTGCTGGGCCATCTCTTCAGACCCAATCTTCGTTTAAAAAGAATTTTTGGCAACAGTATTAATTATTGTTATTATTATTATTTTCTCTCTATGTAGCCTTGGCTGTTCTGGAACTCGTTTTGGAGACCAGGGGCCTCAAACTTACAGAACTCTGCCTAACTCTGCCTGTCTCTGCTGCTGGGATTTAAGATGTACTCTACCACACCTGGCCAATTTTAGGTTCTATAAATAGAACAAAATACCCCCCCCCAAAAAAAAAAACAGTTTAGGAGGTAGTGGCAATGCTTTAGAAAGAGCTCTGAGACAAAGATTCTGCTCCTCCTGAGTCCATTTACTCACCTGTATGTGTGTCCTGTGATTTCATTTCTCACCATGACGCAATCCACCAGCCATTTAGCTAACAGTCCGGAGTTATCGTGGCCGATCTGAGCAGTGGTGAGCTTCCCCAGGTTCTGGCACTGTAGAGACATGACCACACATTACTCTGTACTCAAGTCTTTTCTACTCCCTTTCAACGTTGGCAGTGGACTTTGGCTCTATCTAACACTCACAGAGACCTACCCTGTACAATGTGCTAGGTTTAACACTACAATCTCCGTGTATTCTTTGCTCCCGGGGGCCCTCATACAATGAGGCAGGGTGGACACTGACTATGGAGTGAGGGCTTGAGGTGCTGGACTAGAAATGCAAACAACTGTTAGAAGAATACTGGAGGGCTGGAGAGATGGCTCAGTGGTTAAGAGCATCGCCTGCTCTTCCAAAGGTCCTGAGTTCAATTCCCAGCAACCACATGGTGGCTCACAACCATCTGTAATGAGGTATAGTGTCCTCTTCTGGCCTGCAGGCATATATACAGACAGAATATTGTATACATAATAAATAAATAAATTTATTAAAAAAAAAAAAGAATACTGGAGAAGGAGCATTTGCTTCTACTGGGGAAATCCAGAAACAGAATCACTGATAAAGATTCACGCCTTGCCTGAAGGGTGAAGATTTCAGTAAATAGGGAGGGGTCTTATTTAGATTGGCTTACAGCAAATAGCTCATTTAAAGAAACCACTAACTGATATTTGTACATTTTTAACAAGGGACTCCGGGTAGTTCAGCGGTAGAGAGCTTGTCTAGCACGATCATCTCACCTACAAGGGATATTTTCTCCCAGTCTGTGCCTGAAGCTGCCCTAATAGCAAACCTACATATACTCTATTTCCCTATATGCCCTGTGATGTGTCACAAATCCCAGGTCTGGGTCCTTCTCTGAAACACTACTCTTAGGCTGTGGGGCCACTAATAAGTGAAGTAAAGGCTACAAAAACACAAGGCACTGCCACACCTAAATACTTAATCTGATAGCCTAAATGCTCACTAAGTGATGACTGGAAGGTTAGCACACACACACACACACACACACACACACACACACACACACACACACAAACACACAGTCACGCTAGACAAAGGCAGAATTCAAGGCCAACACGGGAACAGCCTGTCACTGTGCTAAAACAGTGCACAATCAGAAAACTTCTAATGTGGACTGAGGGGGTAGCTCAGTGGTAGAATTCTTGCTGACCATGTGTAAGGTCCTGGGTTTGTTCCTTTGTAACAAAAACCAAGAATGTGTAAACAACTCTCACACTCAAAATCTTTAATTTTTTTAATTTAATTTAACTTTATTTTAGAGACAGGGTTCCTGTGTGTAGCTTGGGAGCCTGTCCTGGAACTCGCTCTGTAGCCCAGGCTAGCCTTGAACTCACATAAGATTCATCTGCCTCTGCCTCCTGAGTCCTGGGATTAAAGGCATGTACCACCACCACCACCAGGCTTTTGTTTTGTTTTTGAGACAGTTTCATTATGTAGCTGAGGATGGTTCTGAACTTGCAACAATTCTTCTGCTTCCATCTCCTGAGTGCTGGGACTCCAGGCATATGCCCCCATGCCTGGCCTTTTATTTTTATTATTTTGCTTTTTGAGACAGGAACTCATGTTACCCAGGCTAACCTCAAACCTGCTACATAGCAGAGGATGGCCTTGAACTTCTGACCCTCCTGTGTCTGTGTCTGTTCTCAAGTGCCAAGGTTACACCACTGTGCTCAGCTTCTATATTTCTGGACCATAACCGCAGAAAGTGAAATTATGAATGAACTGTAGGATAAATGTTCCTACATTTATGCTCTTTGTGGACAAGTAAAAAACAAAGCAATGGTAATAGGAATTATAAAAACGGACACGAATTAAATTCTGACTGAAAAAATCTGATAACGAAAGGATCAGACTGACTACACGCTGGACTGAATGAAACGTCAGAGCTGTAAGTTCTGAAAGCATTTGCCTTGTTTATCAATGGAAGGCGTCATGTGACCCAGCTGAGGGACATGCTAACATACGGAAATACCTTACTAGTGATACTCAAAACTGCAACATGAAAAGTCATATTTACAGGGGCCGGGTGTTAGTGACACCGAGGCAGGCAGATCTCTGAGTTCAAGGCCAGCCTGGTTCACAGAATGAATTCCAGGACAGCCAGGGCTGTTACCCAGAAAAACCCTGTCTTGAAAAGCAAAGCAAAACTGATGTAGGAAGGTCACTGATTAAAAAAATAAACTGCTTGGCTGGCCCTCATAGGTTAAACATAGATAGGCGGAGTTAACAGAACAGAATGCTGGGAGGAAGAGGAAGTGAGCTCAGACTCGACAGCTCTGCTCTGTGGAGCAGAGAGGCCATGCTCCCCTCTCCCAGGCAGACACAAGCCGCCAGGTCAGACATGCTGAATCTTTCCCGGTAAGACCGGTGCTACACAGTTTATTAGAGATGGGTTGATCAGGATATCAGAATTAGCCAGTAAGGGCTAGAGCTAATGGGTCAAGCAGTGTTTAAATGAATACAATTTGTGTGTTGTTATTTCGGGCATAAGCTAGCAGGCGGCCGGGGTGCTGGGGACACAGCCTCACTGCTCCTATTACAACACAAAACAAAACAATATTCTTCTATAAATGCCACTATGTGCTTCAAAAGCCATAAGCATGGACGTCAGTTCTCTGGGTCTGAGGAGAAACCAGGGAAAGCACTTATTTTAATTACAGTTTCTGTTTGTCATGTCCTGTGTTAGGCACTAGGCATCAAGGAACAGGACCTGGTAAAGCCTACAACAAGTAGAAAAACGAGGATTAGCAATGAAACAAAAAGCAAACTAGTGTAAGCTGCTCCAGACAATTATAGGGTATGCTCGCATATTCCTTTATTTCATTTGCTTCACAAAAAAATGAAAAAAAAAAAAAAACCAAACCAGAGTTCTTCTGTAGAAGTAAAAAGGTATTGGCTAACCTACCTCAAAAGTCATCTCAAGTAGGTTTTTTGGAATCTGCATCACTCCGGTGTCTCCTAGCTCTCCCGAAACACAGATCCACGGGTTTGATGTAATGATCGCATTGCTCAGCTTTTTAATTGGAATTATCACTGCTCTATAAGGAATCACTGAAAGAAAAACACGGAAGTGAACTTAGAAAAAGTCACAATTACCCAGAACTAGTTGCATTTAAGATATATTTTGCTTTTTTATTGTTTTTATGTATATGAATGTTTTGCCTGCATGCATGTATGTACATCACATCTGTGTCTAGTGGCCTCAGAGGTAAAGGAGAGAGTCGGATCCCCCAGAACTAGAATTATGGTACTAGAGTTGTGAATACCATGTGGGTGTTCAGCAGGAACAAGTGCTCTTAGCCACTGGGTCATCTCCCTAGCCCCTGATATTTAGTGTATTATGATCTTTTTCTTAAACAAATATATATTTTAAGATTTTATTTATTTATTGTCTGCATGTTTGCCTGCAGGCTAAAAGCGGGCACCAGATCTCATAGATGGTTGTGAGCAACCATATGGTTGCTGGGAACTGAACTCAGGACCTCTGGAAGAACAGCCAGTGCTCTTAACCGCTGAGCCATCTCTCCAGCCCTTATGATCAGTTTTTATGATACACTCACAACGGGCAGTGAGGTGGCTCAGTGATTAAAGGCACTTGCCGCCAAGCCTGACAACCTGAGTTCACTCCTGGAATGCACATGGTGGATGGAGAGAACCAACCCCACAGAAAGACAGGATTAGGTTACTGAGGTGAATCCTATACAGGAGGAGTCTGGGAGAGCCAGATGTATCTTCTTAAAGACGTCACCACTAGATGTCACCATCCTGTCATAGACCTTGGCTAAATGTAAAGTGCAGGAAAATTTGGAATTTAAAGCAGAAACCATAGCGAAGGCTGCTGACTGGGGGGGGGTCACCCACAGGCTCATACGTAGCTTTCTCACACAGCCAAGGACCTGTGCGGGGAACAGTCCCTCCCAGACTAAGCAGGGCCCTCCTATATCAGTGTACAATCAAGGGGGAAAAGAAAAAGGAAATGAAAAACATTGCTCACATACATGCGTACAGGCAAATATGATCTGGGTAATCCCTGAATTCAGACTCCCTTCTTAGGCTGGATGAAGCTGCCAGTTAAAGTGAAATAGGGTGCTCACCTCTTGGTGGACAAACCAGCCCAGCAGCTCTCCAAGGTTTCGCTTTAAGAATTTACCTGTTTGGGTTTCTTGCCCTGACTTACCTTTGTGGCAGACTGTAACCTCTAACTGGAATAAGCTCTCTCTCCCCCTAGTCTGCTTTTGGTCACGGCATTTGTCACAGCAGCAGAGAGGGCTGGGACCAGATTATCTCTTTACACATCCCAATGCTGCAGACAGAAGTTTCTCAGAAAAGGAGAAACCACACAGAAGAATATCTAAAGAGGTTATTGCATCTTATTATAGTGTCTGTGATGTGCCTACGTGAATGCTGGTACATGTGTGTTACAGCTCATGTGTACATATAGGTTACAGGACAATTCTCAGAATTGGTTTCTTTCCATCTTTTTATGGGCTTCAGGGATTGAACTCAGGTCACTAGGCTTGTATGGAAAATGCCTTTTTCTGCTGAGATATCCTGCCAGTCCTTTTTTTGTTTTGTTTTTCTTTTTTTTTGCTTTGGGACTTGGTTTATATCCCATTCTGGCCTTGAAAATAGCTGAGGATGACCATGTTTTTAATTGTCTTAAGTGACTTCTATTTTTCTTTTGAAATCTTTAAAAAAAAAAAACATTTATGTGCTGGGTGGTGGTGGTGCATGCCTTTAATCCCAGCACTTGGGAAGCAGAAGCAGGCAGATCTCTGTGAGTCTGAGGCCAGCCTGATCTACAGAGCTAGTTCCAGGACAGGCTTCAAAGTTACAAAGAGAAACCCTGTGTGAAAAAAACCCAACAAAACAAAACAATCCCCCTCAGCCCCCATAAACTCCTCTGTATGTGTGGGTGTGCGTGTGAGAGAGAGACAGAGAGAGAGAGTGTGCGTGTGAGAGTGTGTGTCCGTGTGTGTGAGAGAGAAAGACAGAGTGTGTGTGTGTGTGTACATGTTACGCCTGTACGTGCCACCTTGGTGCACGTTTGGAGCTCAGAGGACAACCTTCTACCATGGGAACTAAACTCCAGTTGTCAGGCTTTGGGGCAAACACCCTTACCCACTAAGCTATCTTGCTAGACCTCCCTTTTTTTGAGATAAAACTTTTCTGTGTAGGCTAGATCAGCCTTGAAGTTTTGATCTTCTTGCCTCAGCAGGGATTACAGGAGCTACACGCCCGGTCTTACCTTTAGCAACTTAGATTCTTGTGTGTGTACTAACTGAACGAACTGGAAATTATTAGGTTATTACTTATTAGACATTTTAAGTTGGTCCTCCTCAACTCCCTTTTTATTTATCTGCTTTTTCCAAAGACCAGAAATCAGAGCCTTCATAATTCCAGCCAGTGAAGTGCCAGTGATGTTTACTGAGATTTTGGAGAGATTATGCTTTTTTTTTAAGCCACAGTTGTGGGGGGCAATGGTTTTGTACCCTGTAAAGATTTGTCTCTTGTACTTGCTTAATAAAATGCTGGTTGATCAGTAGCCAGTCAGGAAGTACAGGCAGGGCGACCAGGACAGGAGAATTCTGGGAAGAGGAAAGATTCAGTTCACAGCCGTCACCCAGACGTAGAAGACGCAGATGTGACTGTCTCACCAGTAAAAGGTACCAAGCCACGTGACAGCACAGACAAGAATTATGGGCTAATTTAAGATGTAAGAATTAGTTAATAAGAAAGCCAACCAGTTTATAATTAATGTAGACCTCTGTGTGTTTCTTTGGGACTGAATGGCTGAGGGACGGGGCGGGACAGAAACCTCTGTCAGCACCACAGACCGCAGCTTTAGCATTTCTCTTTTGTCCTAGGTGACATTTTCTGTCACAGACTGGGTTTTGTGGAAAGCATGTGCCGAGCCAGAAATGAGCTCGCATGGAGCCTGTGAAGAGGAAGTCAAGACTGACAGTGAAATGCTGAGCCTTGCTTCACCAAGTCTCAACAAACCCTCCCACCGGTACAGCGAGCTCCGAGCCGGCTCTCTGATTAGGATGCAGGTTGGACCTGGCAGGAAGTTAACAGCCCAGCATAGTCGTCCACCCCCCCCCCCCCCCCCAAACTCCTCCAGACAGGGTTTCTTTGTGTAGCCCTGGCTGTCCTGGAACTCGCTCTGGAGACCAGACCAGGCTGGCCTCGAATTCAGAGATCAGCCTGCCTCTGCCTCCAGAGTGCTGGGATTAAAGGCCTGCGCCATCACCACTGCCTGGCAAATACTTTTATTTCAAGAGGGACTTGAGAATTTCCCTACCCCTAAGTCAGGGTTTCTTGTTTTTTGAGAAAGGGTCAGGATATATAGCCACATTCACTGGTTTTGAACTGGCAATTTTCTTGTTTCAACTTCTGAGTGTCGGGACTACAAGTATTTATCACACGCCTGCTCTCCCGGAAACTTCTCCATACTCACTGATCGTGGTGAACACACTGGTGAAGCAGAAATAGTCCACAGCATTGAGGGAGAGCAGGTGGTAGAGGAACTGCTCCCTTTCCTCCTCGCAGCGTAGAAAAGCATACCGTTTATACAGCTTCCTGAGAAGGTAAACACAGGCACACACAGTGGTTACAATTTTCATTCTTAAAATCACGATGTAAAGTTAACACCTTCTGAGCCAGGGAGCAGGTTCTCTACCACCTGCCAACTCTCACGCCCTAATTAAATCCCTGAGACTCACATGGGGAAGGAGAGAACACATCATCCAGTAACATCATCTGATTTCTACACAGGCACTTGAGCTAAATAAAAACTAAGGATCAATCAAACAAAAAGTCCCCCCTCAAGCACCAGGCTGGAGAGATAGTGTAGTGGTTAAGAGCACTGTCTGCTCTCCCAGAAGGCATGGATTTGATTTCTAGCACAAACATGGCATTTCCTATCTGTAAGTTCAGTCCCAGGGGACTGGCATTCTCTTAAGACCTCCTGTGCACTGTACAATGTGGGGCACAGACACACACACATAAAACAAACAAGCAAATGCTCACCTTACCATGTGGGCGCTGGGAATTGAACCAAGGTGTGCTCTTACGTGCCGAGACATCCCTTCAGCCCCCTCTACCTTATTTATTTGCTTCAGGGATCCACCTGTCTGTGCATCCCCCCTTCCACTCGGAGACACACAATACCAGGCTGGGATTGCAAGCTTGTGCTGCCACATCTGTGTGGGTGCTAGGGACCTGAACGTGGGTCCCCATGCTTACCTGGCCGGGCCTTTGACTGCCTGAATCATTTCCTCAGGCTCCACTTTTATTTTATTTAATTATGCATCCCAGGCTGCCTCAAACTTGCTATATTGCTAAGGATTACCTTGAACTTCTGGTCCTCCTGTCTACAACTGGGATTAGAGGTATGCACCATCATATCCCATTTAATCAGTGCTAGGGACCAAACACATGACTTCATGTATGCTAGACAAGCATTCTACCAAGTGAGTTGTGGCTTAATCCCTTATACTATGTTGTTTGTTTGTTTGTTTGTTTAAAACCAACCTACTCTTTGGACATTAAGATTTATTCTAAGATTGGAATGTAGCATCCACGAGGCTGAGATAGGCAGATCTCTGAGTTTGAGGTCTACCTGAGCTAAGTAAGTTCCAGGACAGCCAAGGCTATGTTGTAAGACCCCATTTCAAACAAAACAAAACAACTCATTCTACAACGCTCCAGGCCATAGATGTGAGTGTAAGAGCACAAACAGTCCTGGTTACCATGTATGGGTCTAACAGAAAAGCCACGGCAAGGTTTGAATCAGGTTCTTTGCAAATCTTTGCTCCAGAACTCTAACTTCTTAGCGTTCAAGTAAATCCTAATGTTCTTATCATTTAAATGGATTTCTGGCTAGGCATGGTGGCTCATACCTAGCACTCAGGAGCCAGAAGAGGGCACCATATCTCATTACAGATGGTTGCTGGGTATTGAATTTACAGCCTCTGTAGGTGCCCTTAACCACTGAGCCATCTCTCCAACCCAGTATTTTCTTTCTTCTCTTCTCTCCTCCCTCTCTTTCTCCATCTCTAAGATTTATTATGTAGTGTAGGAGGGTCTTCTGTCTATGTGTTACTTGGCCTTTTGATAGGGCAGCCCTTAGGTGGGCGGAGTAGACAGACCAGAATGCTGAGAAGGGAAGTGTGGCAGACGCCATGATTCTCCTTCCTGAGACGGACGCTGGTTAGATTCATGTCGGTAAGCCACAGTCAAATGGCAATACACATTAATGGAAATGGGTTAATCAAAATGTGAGAGTTAGCCAATAAGAGGATAGAGATAATGGGTCAGGCAATAATTTAATTAATACAATTTCCGTGTGGTTATTTCAGGGGCTAAGCTAGCAGGGCGGCAGGACACAGTCCGCCGCTCCTCATTACAATAATTATGTATACAGTATTCCGCCTGCATGGCAGCAGACCCCATTAGAGATGGTTGTGAGCCACCACGTGGTTGCTGGGAATTGAACTCAGCCAGTGCTCTTAGCCTCTGAGCTATATGGCAGCCCCACGAAGGTATTTTCTGAAGCACACCTGTTATACAAGAATGTATGTGTTCATGAATCAGGATTTATAATGAAGGAGCTAGTTTCCTAGCTTATTTAATTTCCTTTGTAAGCACACATCACAGAAACAAATGTTTTGAAAGGCGATGTCTTACTTGGTCAGTAGTTGGTTGGAGAGCAACTGCTTGAGATGCTGTGACAAAAGTTTCTTTTCTAGAGACAATCTTATCCATGCCCGGGCTCGGCCAACATCAGTCTTGATCTCACTCATGTTTTGAACATGCCTAAAAAAATCAGTACCAAAAGATAAGATTTTCTTTGCATTTAAATACGTCTTGTTTTTAGACAACATATATGAAATGCTTTATTCTTAAAACAATGCATTTGATTCAAATAAATCACAGTCAAAACAAAAGTTCTGTGTAGCCTGGCTGTCCTGGAACTCACTCTGTAGACCAGGCTGGCCCGTGAACTCAGAGAGATCCACCTGCCTCTGCCTCCCGAGAGCTGGAACTAAAGGTGTGTGCCACCACCACCTCCCAGCTTAGTCCCCTTTGTCCTGGTGTTGCTTGGATGACATGCAATAGCCAGTCACGGTGAAGGGGGCAGATCAAAGGTAACTGATCAATTTGTTAATTTGTTAGTATTTTTCCATTTCTAAATTATCCTTAAAGAAAGTCACATATAGGATCACACTGTCTCTATAGACGTCCAGGAGAGCAACACTGCCATCTAGATTCATGTTTTCACAAATAAACAACTGGTAACTATTGAAATTAGCAAGGTTGTGCTTAACTTGCTCTTCAGCCCCAGTCATAAAATCCTAGAAGAGATTTTTTAAGGATAACTTTAAGATAGAAAAGAATTAAAAAATATTAACAATACTGGGCCCAGAAAAATTCTTTTTTTTTTTTTTTTTTTATTTTCGAGACAGGGTTTCTCCGTGGCTTTTGGTTCCTGGGTTCCTGTCCTGGAACTAGCTCTTGTAGACCTCGAACTCACAGAGATCCGCCTGCTTCTGCCTCCCGAGTGTTGGGATTAAAGCCAGAAAAATTCTTTTATATTTAGATGAAGAAATAGGTAATACACATCTTTGTTGTTGCTGTTTAATTTTTGAGAAAGTCTTACTATGTAGCCCCATCTGGCCTGGAACTCATCATGAAGACCAGGCTAGCCGCAAACTCATAGATCCATTTGCCTTAGTCTCCCGAGAGCTGGGATTAAAGGCGTTTTCCACCATGCCTGACTTGAACTCTGTAACCAGGCTGGCCTCTCACTCTGCTTCCTAAGTGCTGGAATTAAAGACATGAACCACCAGCACTGTAACACACTTTTGAGGGCGGTCAAAGCCTCAGAGATTTCACCTGAATCTCAGATCTAGTTGTACACCAGAACTTACATTGAACCTGGCATGGTGGTACATGCCTGCAATCCCAGCATTCAAGAGGCAGAGGCAAGCAGGCTACTCAAGAAAATAAAAATTAAACAATAAAGTGTGCCTTAGGAGGTAGACTGTATATATTTACACATGAGTGCAGGTGTCCAAAGAGACCACAGACAGTGTCAGATGACCTGGAGTGGAGTCACAGGCATTATAAGCTGCTTGGCTGGGTGCTGGGAACCAAACTCAGGTCCCCACAAGAACACTATAGGTCGGGGCTGAGAGCACTGTACCACAGAGAACCCAGGCTCAGTTCCCAGCATCCTCCCAGCAGAGAAAAGGAAAACCAGAAAAAGAAAACAAAGTAGATATAAAAAACAACTCAAGTGAAAAGTCTTTGCTCATGTGACTCATCACAAAACACACACACACACACACACACACTGGATTGTGCTTATTGTTAAATAAATGTAAAAGTTAGTAAGAAGCCTGAGCTATCAGCTGAGCATTTATAAGGAATATAAGCTTCTGCTGGTAATTTGGGAAGCAGTTGCTGGCTGGATTCTTGGAACTGGCGGGAGGCAGAGAAATGTACATTTACACACACACACACACACACACACACACACACACACACACACACGAGGTGCTTGTAATCCCTGTGTTTGGGAGGGGCTTTCTAGCTAGCCCACCCAGCCCAACTGTCAAACAGAGATCCCCTGCTTCTGCTTCCAAGTGTTGAATTCAAAGACACGTGCTACCACAACAGTCTTTTTTTCCTTTATTTTCTTTATTCTCCCAAGATTTATTTTTACGTGTATTGTTGTTTTGACTGTATGTATGCCTGTGTGAGGATACCATATCCCCTAGAACTGGAGTTATAGACAGTTGTGAGCTGTCATGTGGGTGCTGGGAATTAAACCCAGGTTGAAATCTAGAAGACTAACCAATGCTTTTAACTACTGAGCCATCTCCCTAGCCCCAGGACAAAAAGTCTTAAGTATCACGGTTATTTTATATTTTATGTACACACATTTTAAAAGCTCATATCTTAAATGTTGACTAAATATTGTGCTGAAAATGTTTATAAGAAAAAAGCCTAACCATTTTCGTTCTCCTTTTTTTGGTTTTATTTTGCTTTTTTGAGACAGCTGTAACAGCCCTGGTTGTCCTGGAATTTGCTTTGTAGACCAGGCTGCCCTTGAACTCAGAGAGACCCACCAGCCTCTGCCTCCCAGGTGCTGGAATTAAAGGCCTGCACCAACCACTCCCTGGCAAGAAATGCTAATTTTAATATTTGTATTTCTAAAGCTATATCTTGTTGGGTGATGACGGTGACTCACAACTTTAGGCCCAACACCTGGAGGCAGAGACAAGTGGGTCCCTGAGTTTGAGACCAGTCTGACCTACAGAGTGAGTTTTATGATAGTTAGGGTTACACAGAGAAACTATCTCAAAAAACAAACAAACAAAGAAGATAAAAAGAAAAACTATCTTTCAGAGATCAATTTTTCTGCCAAGCCACCTACTGTTATTTTTTGGCCTATATCCATAGATAACATGCACTTAAAGAGATTCTTCAAAGAGAAGTTACAGTTCAGAGCTGTTTTAGAACACTCTCCCCAACTGCATCTCCCCTTTTATTCAATGTCAGAAGAAAACAATAAACAGTACAATAGTAAAACAATTAAAACTGAGGCTAGAGAGACGGCTGTGCACTTAAAGGCGCTTGTTGCTCTTCACCCAGGTTTGTTCTCAGTGCCCACACACAACATCCCTGACGCTGGCTTGAGGAGATCTAGTGCCCTCCTCTGAACTCCGTGGGCACCAGGCATGCATATGGTTTACATACATGTAAATGCAGGTCAAACACTAATACTCATAGAATAAAAATAAACAAACCACATCTATAATTAGGAAAATACTTTCTTCAGAATACGTAAATAAAAGGTATGGTTAAAATCACGTGAGCAATCTGGGTGAAAAGCTACACTTTACAGTTATCACCGTCTATTAACATGTGTAACAAATACCTCATGTCTTGAATTAGAGAGACCCTGAGTGTTGGTAACATAACTCCTGAGTCAGATTTTCTTCTTTCTGGTCCAAGGGCAACTATGTAGAAAAATATTAGCAAAGTATTAGAAAAATAACAGTGAGCATTTATACTTTAACTTTTAATCTTTTTGAAGACAAGTCTTTCTCTGTTACCCTGGCTGGTCTTGAACTCACACAGATCCACCTGGCTTTGCCTCCCAAGTGTTGGGATTGAAAGGATGTACCACCAATGCTTGACCTATTGATACATTTTAAAAACAATTTTTAAAAAATGTATGAGTTTGCTGGTCAGTGGTGGTGTACACTTTTAATCCCAGCACGTGGGAGGCAGAGAAAGGAGAGTCTCTGTAGAGTTTGAGGCCAGCCTGGTCTACAGAGTGAGTTCCAGGACAGCCAATGCTACAGAGAAATCCTGTCTCAAAAAAAAACCCAAAACCAAACAAATTCTGAGATTATAATCTAAATGTATCATCTCCCTTTTCCCTTTAACCTCCCAATGCACCCTCTGTTCTCCACGCCTTCGCTCTTTCAGGTTCACAGCCTTTTATCATTGGATACGTGCATATATATACTTCTAAATACATAAATACAACCTGCTCAGTCTGTACATTACTTGTATGCATGTATGTATGTATGTATTTTTTTAGGGATGGCCATTTAAAACAGCAAACGTGTGTTCTTTATAAACAAACTGTAGCTATATTTGGAAACAAAACAGATATTTTATGCAGTACACCTGGTAAACAATGCAGTATGTGCAGGCGCTGGCTATGAGGTCAGCCACTTGGCCATTCGTTCTCACAGTGCTGGGTAGTTACTCAAAAAACACTGTCTCATGCACCCAAGGCTGTCCTCTGACCCTGAATGTTAGGGTTACACGTATGTGATATGATTCTGGGGACTGAACCTAGGACATCCTCAGCCCAGAAAACATTTAATATTAAACACAGGAAGATCCTTTTTTTCTTTTCTTTTTAGATAGGGTTTCTCTGTATAACAGTCCTGACTATCCTGGAACTTGCTTTGTAAACCAGGCCTGCCTCTGCCTCCCAAGTGTTAGGTTCAAAAGTGTGTGCCACCATGCCCAGCTTTTAAAAATTTATTTATTTATTTAACACTACTGTTTTGGCTATTTAGGCTGGTAAAGTCTTCCTTCAAAGTTCAGAATTCTAACTACTGTAGCATGCAAAGTGAGCATTTAAAGTGACTTCTAAAAGTATAAGGTAGACGAATGATTTTCTTTTCTTTCCTTCTTTTTAATTTTGAGATATGGTCTCATGCTGTACTTGACTACCTTGGAACTCACCATGTAGTCTAGGCTGGCTCAACTCACACAGATCTATCTCCACTGGCCTCTCAAATGCTAAGATTAAAGGTGTGCACCCATCATACTTGGTGAGTAATTCTCTTATAAATTAAATGGTAAATGCCACATTTATTTCACTTTATTAAAACTTTCAAAAATTAGATTGATGAGTTAGAGTGTTTTGCCATCATGTCTATTGGTGTACACGCACGCGCGCGCACGCACACGCACACACACACACACACCATGTGCATGTTTGGCATGTGTTTAGTCCACAGAGGTCAGGAGAGGGTACCAAATCCCCAGGAACTAGAGATAAGGATGGTTGTGACCCATCATTTGGGCTCTGGAAATCAAACCCAGGTCTTCTAGAAAAGCAACGGTGTTCTTAAGCATTGATCGCACTCTCCAGTTCCACAGCTAACATTTATAAAGGAAGGAAAATGACTCTTACAGCAAGCATCGAGCACACAGCCACAGGCTATGACATGGGAACGGGTCTCACTTTTGATGAGAAGCGAATGGATTTTATACCCTTTCTTCATTTCTCTTCTGTAAATGGAAACTGAGCTGAAGCACCGCAGTTAGCAAATACACTGATGAAACTTAAAATGTGGACTTTGCTTTATATTATAGCTACTTTTTCTCTGATTTTAGCTCCACTGATGTTGAGAAGTCGGGATGCAATACTGGCACAGATGTCTGTCTACTGCCCAGGCCTCCAAGGAAGAGTCAGTCAGTTTTACTGTGTTAGACCTTTCTGTTTCTGGTGCTTGGTGGAAAGGCTGGACTCATATCCAGCAGACATAAATAATCACTGTGGGACTGACATGGAGGCTCCAGAGGTGGTCAGGGTCTCTCTACACGGCCCTGGCTATCTTAGAACTCACTCTGTAGACCAGGCTGTCCTTGAACTCAGAGATCCGCCTGCCTCTTCCTTCTGAGGGCTGGGAATTAAAGGGGTGTGCCACAACATCTGGCTTAGGGAAGGCAATTTTCAAACTTGTACTTTAAAGACTAATCTCTCTGATACTCAGGGAAGTAAGGCACACTGAAGAAATTGTCTTAGACACTTTCAGGGAATATGTGTTTATCTTTCTATTAAGATCATCCTAGCTTAAGTGTATTATTAAAGTGCATTATTCTTTGGAGGTAGAAAGTCAAATGGCTCAGAGAATGACTCTTCATTCTGACATTACAATACAGCCATACAAACAGTAAGAAATATGGTGAAAAGGGTATAATGGTACAAACCAGCATTTGGAAGGTGTAGGCAGAAGGATCAGGAGTTCAAGGACATCTTTAGCAACAAGAAATTCCATCTCAACAAACAAAACTGAACAAAATAGCAATCTCAAAACAAAATGCTGAGAAGTGGGAGAAGATTATGAAGCAGAAGAAAAGAGTTGAAACCATAATCAGCAAGTTGGCCAGGGGGAAACAACGGAGGAGCCAGAAAGCTCATGAGACTCTCGCAATGAAAAGGAGGCCCAGAGGTACAGCTCAGTGATGGAGTCCTTGTCTACTGTGTGTGAGGCCTGGGCACAATGTTCAGCAACAATACCAATAACAATACGTGTCCTACAGGTAAAGGGACTGTTAATTTGTCAGGAAATGTGCCCCCCCCCAATACAGTGTTCACATCTGGGAGGTAACTGAATCATCTGGACTCCAGCCCATTCAGCAGATCAAGTCAGTGACGGGCAAACAGTCTGGTGGTACCAGAGAGTGGCAGATACCAGAAGGCGGGGCCTCTGCAGGTCAAGCAGGTCATCGAGAGCATGCCTTGGAAAAGTGCCCTTTCTCCAGCTCCACCTCCATTCCCCGCAGCCCTCAAGTGGGCAATGTTACTCTCATGCATTTTTAAGTCTAAAACTTACTTTTTAATGCTCCTTTATCATCTTTCTCCCCATTTACTGTCTGTTTATCACTAGACTGGAAGCAGCTTAATGGTTGAATATGATGTTCCTAAACCCTGTGGGGAATTTAACAGGCGTCCCTGCTTGGATGAGGGACTTCAATGGTCTGTAAGAATATGTACTGCTCTTGCAAAGGACCCCAAATTTGGTCCCATCACTCATTTTGGGTAGACTGCAAGTACCTGTAGCTATACCTTCAGGAGACTCAATGTTGTCTTCTGGCCTCCAAAGACATTTACACACATACAATCATATAAATAAAAAAATATATATTTAGGGGCTGGAGAAATGGCTCAGAGGTTAAGAGCACTAGCTGTTCTTCCAGAAGTCATGAGTTCAATTCCCAGCAACCACATGGTGGTTCACAACCGTCTATAATGAGATCTGGTGCCCTCTTCTGGCCTGTAGGCAAACATGCAGGTAGAACACTGCATATATAAAAAATAAACAAAATCTTAAAAAAAAAAAAAGGAGGCTTCAGGTCCCATTGGCGCTCTCTCTCTCTGTATGGATAGATGTGTATGTGTATGTACATATCCATATATAAAAGTTATGCTGGGCAGGTGATGATACCTGCTTTAATCCCATCCCGTGCGGAAGCAGAGGCTATCAGATCTCTGTACAGTTCAAGTCAGTCAGATCTACATAGGGAGTTCTAGGCCAGCCAGAGCCATACAGTGAGAATCTGTCTAAAAAAAGGCTACATGGCTCTTACTAATATTACTGAGAACATAAAGCTCTGTTTGTTCTTACATTGTTAGCCCTCCATCAATGTGGCAGTGCAGCAGAGACCGTAACCGCACGGACCTCTGATGCAGTTTCATTTATCTTTCTTCACTTTAGAATCTGCTGGAGGTCACTGAAGATTTTAGGACTCGATTTCTAACTGAACCACTCAACATTTGTTCAGTGAAACCACAAAAACTACAAGTTCTGCCCAGCAGCAGCTGACTCTAACAGCTAAACATTTTTACACACCTTTTTGGGCATAAGAGTTGAGCATGTCTGTCTCATCTTAATTGAGCTTGGCTTTTCACTCCATGAACAGCCCCTTCCTAGGAATTCATTCTTGCTTGAGACAGGGTCTTACACAACACCCCAGGGACGGCTCCCACTCCTGAGCCTGCTGCGCCCACCGTGAGGTTGGTTGGGATTACCACCTTTTCTAACAGGTGTAAATACAGTTACGGCTGAGGCCATCAGGACACTGACAAGCTCTGGAGAGGGGTTCCAGGGCAATGGAATATCAAATCCATATTCTTGTCTTACACATTTAAAAATGAGGTTTTTTACAAGTGAACTCTGAGGGGGGCTACCTTGGGCACAGACAGTGAAGGAAAAGGACCTGGGGACCCAAGGTGTCCTTTACTTCCCTCCTTTCACTGGTTCCTTCTTTTTATTTTTTCAGTACTGGGGACTGGACTCAGGGTCTCACACTTGCTAGGTGAATATTCTTCCACTGAGCTATGTCCTCAACCTACAATATTTTATTTCTTAAGTTTGTGGGTTAGGTTATACATTTTTTAAAAATCATGCACACACATACACACACATACATGCATGTTCTATGGTCTCTAGATTAAGGTCAAAAGATAATTTTGTGGCCTTGATTCTCTCCTATCATACGAACTCAGGGGAGCAGACCCAGGTTTTCTTTTCTTTTCTTTTTTTTTTAAATTTATTTATTAAAGATTTCTGTCTCTTCCCCACCGCCTAGACCCAGGTTTTCAGGGTTGGCAGAGGAACATTTATTCACTGAGCCATACCACTGACTCTAACTTAGGAGTTCAGAAATTTTTACGGCTGGTTGTGGTGTGCATGCATTTGATCCCAGCATTCTGAGGCAGAGGAAGGGGGAATCTCTGTGAGGTCTGGTCTACACGGTAAGTTCCAGGCCAGCCAGAGTCACATTGTGAGATCATGTCTCAGAAAACTTTTTTTTAAAAAAAACCTTTTATTTCTGAACTTTTTGAAAGAATGTGTTATTTAAAAAATGGTTCCTAAGTGGCTAACTCACTATAAAATCTTTCCCTACCCCCTTTCAGGTTTTTTTTTGGGGGGGTGGGGTAGGGGGGGTGGATAAGGTCTAACCATGTGCCTCAGACTGGCTTAGAACTGACGATCTTCTTATTTCAGCCTGAGCACTGGGATTCTACCACACCAGCCAAACCACTTTACTTCTATTAGCTTCCTACTGTTAATTCTACCTTTTATGAAACAAATGGTTATCTTAAGGAGAATCGGGCTCTGGGCTGTGGATGACTCAGTGGCTGAAGCCTTGGGTTTGATTATCAGCACTGCTAAGAAAAAACAAACTCTTTGTGAAAAAAAAATGCAATAGTTGTATTATTTGGCCTAAGTAATAATATATAATTCTGATTAGCATCTAGAAATTGAAGAATCTGACTCTTAGGTTGAGTGTGGTGACACATGCCTACAGTCTCAGCTACATGTGGAACTAATGTCTGAGGCCAGCCAGAGCATCTATAAGAACCCCCACCTCAGAGCATCTGTAAGACCCCCACCTCAGAGCATCTGTGAGATCCCCCACCTCAGAGAGTAAAAAAACTAAGTAAAAGAATCTGACTCTTAAATAGCTTGGGGATAAATATGTACTTTTCCTGAAAGTTTATTTATGAATACAAGGTCCAGGATTTGATCCTGATATTATAAGGCACAGAAAGGACAGTGAGACAGAGCAGTAGATAAAGGCACCTGCCACCACACCAAGCAGCCAGAGTTAAATTCCCAGTTCCACAAAGTAGAAGAAGAGAACAGACTCTGGCAAGCTGTCATTTGGCTGCGACATACAAAATAATTAAGATTATTGCCAGTTGGGGGTGGCACATGCTTTTAGTCCTAGCACTCGAAAGGAAGAGGCTGGTGGATCTCTGAGTTCAAGGCTATCCTGGTCTACAGAGTGAGCTTCAGGACAGCCAAAGCTACAGAGATAAACCCTGTCTCAAAAAAAAAACCAAAACAAAACAATATTAATGATAATCACAAACCTTTTTTTTAAATATTTATTTATTTATTTATTATGTATACAATATTCTGTCTGAGTGTGTATGTCTGCAGGCCAGAAGAGGGCACCAGACCTCATTCCAGATGGTTGTGAGCCACCATGTGGTTGCCGGGAATTGAACTCAGGACCTTTGGAAGAGCAGGCAATGCTCCTAACCACTGAGCCATCTCTCCAGCCCCCCACAAACCTTTTTTATAATAGTATCAGTAACAACAACAGTATAGCCATATCACACTCTAATACTGGGAAAATATACCTGTATAGGCCTTCAGAATTAATTGTTTTCCTTTATATCAACATGATTACTTTGAGTAGCTATCATTCTCTGTCTTATAAGAAAGCAGAAGATGAAGAGATGCCATGTAGCTGCCGAAGGAAAAAGATGCTAGCTGCAAGCCAAAACCTTACTGGTAAGGCCATAGTCTTGTGACAATACACAGATGAATAGAAATGGGTTAATTTATGATGTAAGAGTTAGCTAGAAATATGCCTAAGCTATTGGCCAAACAATGTTGTAATTAATAAACTTTCTGTGTTATTATTCGGGTCTGGCTGGTCAGGAAACAAGTAGTCTCTGCCAACAAAATGGCACCAACGTGAGGCAACCACATCACATAAAACCTGAGGGCTTGGGAAGGAATTCTAGACACAAAAGGAAAGAGTTAAGCATGGCTTCTTGGTAGCAGCACTTTCTTGGGTGGGTTCTGTTTGCTGGTGGTGAGCAGAAAGTGTGGATTCTTTAAGAGCTGGCTTCCTGGTTGGCTAGCATGAAAACCTCTGGCAAATGGGTTGGGCTGTAGAGCCCTTAAATGGGGCTCAAGGCAACACAGACCCACTGCGCCCCTGGAGCTGGGGTGGAGGGCAGGGCTGGCAGAGTTGGTGGTGAACGCACTCTGCCATGTTGGGCTGGGCGGAGTAATAGACAGGGCCGTGGAGTTGGTTCTAGCCACGTCCACTTAGCATGTAGAAAAAAAAGCACTCCTGGTCAGAAAATGATTACTGATACACAATAAAGAAAGATGGATTAAGACAAAAATAAACCTCTAAACTGGTCACCGTGTGTTTAAAAAAAATGTACGTAGGCTTGAGAGAGAGAAGAAAAAGAGCATAGACAGTTATAAAAAGAAATTTTTGCTGGGCAGTGGCGGGGGCATGTCTTTAATCCCAGCACTTGGGAGGCAGAGGCAGGTGGATCTCCATGAGTTTGAGGCCAGCCTGGTCTACAAGAGCTAGTTTCAGGACAGGCTCCAAAGCTACAGAGAAACCCTGTCTCGAAAAACCAGAAAAAAAAAATTCTTTAAAGAGACAGTATAGTCATAGATTAAAGGAGTAAAGAAAAATAAGCCATGTAAAGATGAAAAGTATATAGAGAGTCTGGATTATGTATATTATTGTGTTTTCTTTGAATTTTTTGACTGTGAATGAGCTAAGTACAGAAAGACATTTCACTGTATGGACTGCTAAGATAAACCAACATATATATTTTAAATGTATCTTGACTTCAAACTTTTAGTCTAAGGATATGTTGCTTTGGAAAAGTGGTTCTGCTTTTGTTTCCACAGAAAATGAGAACCTGTGGATTCCTTCTAGGCTAATATGGTTTGATCAAACAGGGCCCCTGAAGTAATGGCCTCGGTGGTCCAACATCCACAACAGCTTCAGGACTGTTGGCTGAGAAGGACTAATCACACAGGATACCCCATGAAAGACCTGAGGAACAGCACCCTCAACCAGCAGGAAATAGTCTAAAAAACTATGTCCAAATTCCCAAAAATTGTTTAAAAATGATTGTTTTCATTTAAAGAGGGTTGACTATAAGTGATTAATGATCACAGTCAATTTCTATAAAAAATAAGGAGGATATGATATAGAGATGAATACTTTGCATTGATATAGATCTTGGTATGTTGACACAAATTTAAGTTTGATGTTGTTACACTGTGTATATGTATTTCTGCTTTTGTTTAGGGTACTGTGTTTGTGCAGCTCATTTAAAAATGTAATGTATAATTAAGAAATACAGGTTAATAGGCAGTCATCTATAATATTCAAGCTTGTAGTCATGTTAGTTAGATTTTTCTAGATTTATAGATAGAAATATATATTTCAGATGGACAGGTATCCTCCAAACCTTTCAAAGACTAACAGAACATGGCATTTAAATGTTTTAATAACTTAGGACTTTCCATGACAGTGAGACTCATCTGCTCCTGGCAGGACCAATCTACTTCAAGAGGATGATGGACATCAGAGAAGCTCCTTATGGAGTTTGTTAGTCATCTGGGCCAGAAACTGTTCTTTCCTGGACTGCTTGATGTTATGCTGTATAAATTGAACATGTAGGATCCACAGAAAAATGACTGCTGAACTTGCCTAAAGGTGAGACAGTCCTTCAGGGTTCCTGCTTTATGAAAGAACTGCCAGACATTGTGCAGGACACAGAAGAAAGCATCTGATAGACTTTGCCATTACAATGCAAAACAGATCTTCAATTTTCCTGCTTCATGGGAAAGTCTGCCAGATATTATGGGCCTGTAGGCTGAAAATGGATGCTCCAAAGGTATAGAAGAACTTTAGGTGACTGCCCAGGCAGTGAGATGTCTCTGTCAATTCTAGAGTTTTGGAAGTTGTTTACAATGCACTTCCTGTTAACTCAGGTAATATTATAGCCTTCTGGGGTCTTTGATGGAGTTGAAGAATAGTTATAGTTATAGTTTTCCTTAGTTATAAGATAAAGCAGATACTTTATAAACATTGTAACTGTAATTCTTGCTTGAAACCTGTTTTGTTGTATGTAATTTTACTATGTTAAAGTTAAAACCTTCCCTTTTATTTACAAAGAAAAGGGGGGATGATGTGGGATTTCCTTCTGCATGCTATGAATATGTTTTATTACTATTGATTATTAAAGAAACAGTTTTAGCTAATGGCTTAGTACAATAAAGCCAGGTGGGAAATCCAAACAGAATATAGAGAGAAAGTAGGCAGAGTCAGGGAGATGTCATGTAGCTGCTGAAGGAGAAAGATGTCAGCCAAAACCTTTCTAGTAGGCCACAGTCTTGTGGTGATACACAGATTAATAGAAATGGGTTAATTTAAGATGTAAGAGCTAGCTAGAAATACGTCTAAGATATTGGCCAAACAATACTATAATTGAAAAAAAGAGAAAAAGAAAGCAGAGAAAAGTCAAGTAAGTTTCTGTAGATTCATATCTCATAATATTGCTTCTTCTATTTTATCTTTACTGACAACATGGGTAAATTTCAGATAGAGACAAACTCATCTAAAATGATTCTTCTCATTGTCTCCTACTGCCTGTTCTATCAAACCAATCTATCTCAAGTTAGGTGTGGTGGCCCATGCCTATAATCCCAGCACTTGGGAGGTGAAGACAGGAGGATCAAGAGTACAAGGCTAGCCCAGTACACACGAGACTTGAAGACAGGAGGGTCAAGAGTACAAGGTTAGCCCAGTATACACGAGATTGGAAGACAGGAGGATCAAGAGTACAAGGTTAGCCCAGTACACATGAGACTGGAAGCAATCTATCTATCTCAACACCTTCTTACCTGGTGAATCTGTAAGGTGCTCTTGTTTCTCCTCTCTGTCCTGGAAATGAATTAAATGTGACCACAAGGCAGACTTCCCCTGAAAACACAAGACACATCAAATGCTCACTTTAAAGAAACAATCAAAAGTAATCTATCATCAGGACCTATATTATATTGGCCACTGAAAAGTCTGGTGACTCAGGTTCATCCATTCTCAGCTCTGTGAACCCCCCACCTGCTATCCCCTCTCCGCTCCCCACTTGTAATGCTGGAGACTGAAAACAGGAAACTGCTTTACAGGCAAGCACTGTAACACCAAGCCATATTCTCAATCTTGTGTAACATTCTGATCATCTCATTTCATGTGTTGTACAAGTCTTTGATGTGGGAGTGTCATATATCAATCTGTTGATTTCATTGGTTAAGTTATAATAAACCAACTGCTTGGCCTCAGCTTAGAACATAGATGGGAGGAGTAAACAGAATAGAATTCTGGGCGGAAGAGGAAGTGAGGTCAGACTCTGCTCTGCTCCCGGAGAGACTCGGCTCTCCGGATCACAGACGCCATGCTCAGCTCTCCCAGGNCAGAGACACCATGCTCAGCTCTCCCAGGCAGATGCACGCAATGAAGCTCCTCCAATCCCGGATGGATGTAGGCTAGAATCTTCCCGGTAAGCGCACCTTGGGGTACTTACAAACATCATTAGAAATGGGCTAGTCCAGGTGCGAGAATTAGCCTGTAAGGGCTAGGGTTCATGGGCCAAGCAGTTCTTAAATGAATACAGTTTGTGTGTTGTTATTTCGGGCATGAGCTAGCCAAGCGGCCGGGGTGTTGGGGACGCAGCCCCACCGCCGCTTCTTATTTCAACAAGTCTTCCTTTGCTTTGCTGAGAATCCTGGCAAGAGCCTGGCAGAGAGAAGCAGTTAAGAAGGCCAGGGCAGTGTTGAAGCACTCTGGACTTAGCTCATCTGTTGCTTAGTTGTATGTGATTAGGCCACAGTAAAAAACATGGACATAAAAGACTAGTTGCATTTGTGTATCTTGGTATGAAATATCTTTAGATTTATGGAGCAGCAATGAAGGATGAAAATTAGGAGAAAGACAAAGAGCCTTTTAGAAAAAGCAACCTGAAACAAAAACAGAGAGACCATTTAAATTTCTCCACCTTGAATTACTAGATAACTTAAAATGATAAAGAACTATTAATTTTGGTTAGCATTTTATTTTTTTGCGGTGGGAGGGACGGACAAACGGACAAGACATCTCTTACAGAGGTCCATCTGCCACCCCAGTAATAGTGTAACAGGGTCCTAGACCTTAATAGGCCCCTAGACCTTAGCACAACTGACTCCATGATAAAGTGGCATTTAGGCTGTAAAACTCAGCACAGACACAAAGTCCATAGTTCTGGGAAAGTCTCTGAATGCACTAACCTTGCTTTTTGGCTTCTGTAGTTCTGCTTCTGGCTAACTGTTCTTGTTAACTGAAGTGTGTCAACGCAAGACATGGTTTTTGTCTTAAAGGCTCACCCTGAAGGCTCAGCGCTACATCCAGCATAGTGGCCAGACGGCTAATAAACATTCCTGTTGGCTTCAGCCCATGTCTGAGCAGTCTTCTCTGGTGAATACCCCACAATAAAGGAACTAAACACAATGCACCACCACACCTGGCTTGGTTAGCACATCTTAAAAAATCTGTACATAAGTAAATACTTATAATCAACAAAGGGTATAATTTCTGTAACATATTTACAATTTTTTAAAACATAATTCTTTATTGAGTCTTTGGGAATTTCACATCATGCACCAATCCCGCTCACCTACCAGTTCCTCAATATCCATCCCTTACCCTGTAGCATCCCCTCAAAGAACCCACCCAAAAATTAACTAAAACAAAACAAAGCAGAAAAAAAAACCCCAAAACCCCACCTCACTCCTCCATCTTTCCAACACCTCTTCATTCATCCTAGTGGTATTCAAGTGCTGTGGGGTGTCATGCAGTCTACCTCTTTGTCCTGTCAGCCCCACCCACAAAATGCTCATTGCAGAGTCGCTGGTCTGGTTCAAGGTCTCTGGCCACACAGTTGTCACTGGATCCTCATGGAAACTCCTCTCAGATATCCTGCTGTTGCCCCAAGTAACTGAGATTCCGTGACTATTGTTCCACAAGACCAGTCCCTTTATAAACTCCAGCAGTTATAGATGGGGCAGACACGAGGGTAGGCCAATCCAAGGCCCAAAATGTGGGTCTGGATGGTAGCTAAGCTGGTAGTTGGGACCACTGGAATCGCCCCCTCAGGCAAGGGGCAGAGCTAGCCTTCCTAGGTCCATGCCACAGCGGCCAGCTCTCCCACATCCGCGGTGAAGGACAGGCCCCCTCTCTCTCCTCAGTGCGGGGGGGGGGGGGGACAGCTCTCCCAACACACATGCAATTTTGTATCTTCCTGTGTATCACTAAAGATCCTCCAACCACCTCCTGATCATAGATTGTTTCTTTCTTTGTCTCTTTATTTTATTTTATTTTTTTTTGAGATAGTCTCACTGTTGAGGCTCAGCTGGCCTGGAACTCACTTTGTATGCCAGTTTACCTCTATCTTTCTCTGCCTCCCACGTGGTGAGATTAAGGGTGTATGCCACCATATCTAGTCCGGATTGTTTGTTTGTTTTTCCTGGAACTGAATGGCCTATGATAAGTATCTAGTTATCTTGTGAGATCTTTTTCTTGTCATACTTCTCATTCATGTATGGAAACTAGAGGAGAACTTTCAGGAGGGTCTTTTGAGCACCTGCCACTTGGCAGCCTCATCCTTGCCTCCTTTTTTTTTGAGACAAGGTCTCTGTGTAACCCTGACTGGCCTGGGGCTAGCACTGTAGAACTGCCTGCCAGCCTCTGCCTCCCGAGTGTTGGGATTAAGGGTGTGCCACCACCACCTGGCCTTCTTTCCTTCATTAGGACAGGGTCTCCCTCTGTAGACCAGGCTGCCCTCAACAGAGATCCACCTGCTCTGCTTCCCCAGTGCTGGGATTAAAGGTGTGCACCACACTGAACGGTACCTGACATGAATAAGCCCTTGACTGCCCAAGCCACTATCACCTCTTGAGTTATTTACCTGCTTGACCTGTAAGCCATGGCTCCATATCCTCTCCAGCAGGTCACAGAGGCTGGCGATCAAGGTATTCTCTTCCAAGCCAGTGATGTTCGCTTCTCCATGGCCCAGCTCCACTGCTTCATGTCCCATCTTCTCTACCAACATGCGTTTTGTCTGAAAACATCATGGCTGGTCATAAATTACCACAGCAGTGAAAATCAAAATCGAGGAATCAATCACTAGCTCAGAAAATCTGGCTTCCTTCATTACAGTTCTAGTTACATATTTTCAGTCACCATGGAGAAAATATCTTAATATGGTGGTCAGCTGATTAGAGTAATACTTTCTATATTTTACTATTATGTCAGAGGAGTGTTAGGGCACCAATGAAGAAATAAAATGCTTGTAAGGCATTGTGACATTGAAAAATACATGTAATTTAGATTATTAACTTCTGTAATAATATAATCGTTCTAGATCTTAAAGTGCACTGACACCAGCACCTTGAGCTATCGCGACCATTTGACCTTTCCTGACTCTAGCACCTTGGCAAACTAAAGCTTTCTGCACTTAAGCTAAAACCACAACAGAAATGAGCAACTCTATGCTTTTTCTTTTCCTCCCCATTTTCTGTTTTTGAGAACTTCCTAGTTTGTGAGAGAACTAGGATTCTCCCCTTCTCTTCCTTTTCTCTTTTCTTTCCTCACAAGATGTATCAGAAAATGAAAACCAGTTTCAGGCGAATTAATTTGCACCCACCTTAGCTAGCATTGCACATGTAAAGTGAGAGAGCATAGGTGCCTTGTCTAATGACCCGTAAACACGGATATTGAAGACAGCGCTTTTACTGAATATGCTCACGTTACTTTAAAAAAAAAAAACTGAGGTTTTTCATTTATATAGATACTTCATATAAAGGCAGTTCTGTGAGAGAAGAATTATATCTAATATCCATAGAGGCTGACAACAATATAGTTATAACATAGTTCAGATCTTTCCCCTTAAGCACATGTAGTAACTTGCATGAGCACAGCAAGGCTTTATACAGGTATGTACGTTGTTTGTCACATAAGAGAGTAACATTCTTTATATAACTTATGAGTGGCTTGACATCACACTGAATAAGAGGACAAGACCTAAGGGCTGGGCAGATGGCTTGTTGTTGTACAGGCCTGACCACCTTAGTTCAGATCCTGGGAACCCATGTAAAACTGGGTAAGGTGACACACACCTCCAGTCTCAATGCTGATATGGAAGATTGGGATGAAGATCATGGATCTGCTATTTTCAAACAGCCATAGTTATAGCATGAGTTCAACTCCCAGCAACCACATGGTGGCTCTCAGTCATCTGTGCCCTCTTCTGGCCTGCAGGCATACATGCAGGCCGAACACTGTATACATATAAATAAATTAAAAAAAAAGATGAGAAAAACTATGCAAGGCTTCCGTGTCATTGATGCTGGGGGCAACAGAAACTTCATGGAGATTCACGATTTCAGTGAAGATCATATCCAGGTCTACAAAAAAAGTTTCTTCTGAGCTCGGAGAGGTGGCTCAGTGGTTAAGAGCATTGGCTGTTCTTGCAGAGGACCTGGGTTTGATTCCCACACCCACACGGTACCTCACAACCATTTGTAATGCCAGTCACAGAGGATCTGATGCCCTTTTTTGACCTGCATGGGTGCTGCCCACATGTAGCCCACAGACTCATAAAAAATAAAAATAAACAATAAACTTTCTTTTCAGAGAAGCTCCAGGCAGAACTGGGCCAACTCAGGTCAGACCCACACGTGGTATAACATGAATGAATGCACACCGTGTGGACTCAGGTCAGACCCACACGTGGTATAACATGAAGCACACCGCGTGGACTCAGGTCGGACCCACACGTGGTATAACATGAAGCACACCGCGTGGACTCAGGTCGGACCCACACGTGGTATAACATGAAGCACACCGCGTGGCAGCAGTATACGTACCTTCATTCTGCATTCTTTTAATAAGCCTTCTACGAATTTCCAGTTGGTTTGTGCGATCACAGCAGGTGAGAGATCTGACAACTTCGGTTGCCTCATGTTCTTTCCTAGGCTTCGCGCCTCTTGCATATATTTCTAAAAATCAGGAGTATTTTGAAATGTGTAAACATCACATATTCTTTTCTACTTAAAACTTACATCAACAAATACAACAAGCAAGATGTAAAAACGGCCTTAAGTGTATGTGTATAACAGCAATTAAGATTTTAGTGCTCTTGATGGAAGGCAGAAGACATGTGTACTCCTCTTGAAACAGTTAACTTTTGTGAAAAGGAGTGAAAGAAACATTATTAACTTGAAATTCATTCAAAACCAGGAGTTTCATTGAGTTTAGTCTTTTTAATAGGACCACCACAATTATAATTAGTTAGGATCAAGAAAAGACTCAAAAACAAAGACTTCACATCCCATAATCATCTGGGGTACTACTCTCCAGCCAAATCTCGGCTCTAATTAACTTTCAATAGTACCAGTATTACATTGTAACTAGTTTTATGACCTCAATCATATCGATGAGCATCTAATGTTGCTGCATCTCACTGTATGATGCGCGCTATAGTTCACAAAAAAAGGCTGAAAAGTGTGACATGCTGCAAACATGGGGGCTCTTGTCTGTATAAAACCTTCCCTTGCTTTGTTTGTGGTTACACACATACAAACACAAAAACATCCATTCCAATATTCTTGAAATTTGTTTAGTCAATTTCCATAAAAGTCAAAAACAGGGAAGGGACTGCAGCTCAGAGGCAATCCCGAGTACCACTTAAACCATGTTTGGTGGTGCACACCTATAGCCTGGGTACTGGAAAGGTGCCAGCGGGAGGAACAAGAGTTTAAGGTCACTGATGTTTATGTGGCTTAAGGCCAGGCTGGGTTTCTCAAGACCAAATCTCAAAACAGCAACAATAAACAAGCAAGCAAGCCAAACAATCACCTTATACCTAGTTAGTGCAAAACTACAGTCTCTGTGCTTGTACGCGGCATCCAGATTACCAGGCAGAATCTGCTCTAAATCATATAGTACAACTAGCGTTTTGTTGCTAGTGAAGTGATATATTCACAGGCACAGATGTAAATCTATCCTTATTCTCTTAAGGGGAGAACTGAATACTATAAAATGTGTAAAATCCTTTGCAGTCTTTGAATGTAAGAGAATTTGTTTCCCCTATGGAAGAAAATCAACCTGCTACAGCTGCTGAAGGTTCTACTGACTGAGGATCGAGCAATTAGCTTCTCTATATACATGACAAAAGGCAACATTAACAACATAACATGGCTCCTCAGTCTAACAATTGTAAAGAACCACTGAGACAACTAAAGAATTCCCTGTGAGACAGGTTCTTCAGTACTTGCATGCACTTTCTGCTTTAATATTATTCAAAGGAAAAAAAGGAAAATTGAGAATGAGAAAATTATTATCAGTAGGGACATTAAATATAGCAGTGGGCATAGAAACATACTTAAGGTTACTTTTCAAGTAACTAAATGTAGGAAATAAAAGCAGTTTCAGAAAAACCAATCTGAGCTACAGGGCAGCACCTACATGAGAATTATATTTTCATTTTCTATTGTTACTTGGGGACAGAATTAAAAGCTAGATATAAAGATTAGTAAAAATACATTTTTAATGTTTAAAGCTTTCCCACTGGGGATACAGCTCAACTGTAGAGTGCTTGACTAGCACGGACAGAACCCTGGTTTACCCCAGCACTGTATAAAGCCTGGTGTGTGGGTTAGAGAATGGTCCTGAGTGTGTGCTGATTTTGGGAAGCACTTAAGTTTGGCTTCCAGCACCTATACCAGGTAGCTCAGGTAATTCCAGTTCCAGGAGTATGTGATGTCTCTGGCCTCCATAGGCCTGCACTCGAGTGCACATAGCCCCACAAACATGAAATTAATTTAAAAATAAAAATAAAGGTCAGGTGTGGTGGTCCACATCTTTCATCCCAGCACTAGGGAGGCCAAGGTATGATTTCTGTAAACTGGAGGTCAGTCTGGTCTACACAGGGAGCTTCAAGACAGCCAAGTGTACACAGTGAGACCCTGACTCATAAAACTACTACCACCACAATAACAATAATAAATACTATTACTATTAAAAACAAACCAAAATGGGTATAGTGGGGCATGTCTTTAATCCCAGTACTTAGGAGGTGGGAAAGGAGAATCAGAAGTTCAAGATCATCCTTAAATACATGCCAGGTGAGGGCAGGCTAGGATGGATACAGGAGTTCTTGTCCCAAAAACAAAAGCAGAGGTAATAGCTCTTGCAGAGGACCTGGGTTTGGTTCCTGGCCCCACTTCACAGTTGGTTCATTTCACAACCAACTGTAACTCTAGCTACAAGAGATTCAATGCCTTCTGAGGGTACTGTACTCATGTGGCATACACATACACAGACAGACAGATAGACACACACACAAAGCAAAGCAAAACAAAACAAAACAAAAACAAAAAACAACAGAAAACCACTTGGATGTGGTGGTGCACACCATTAATCCCAGGTCTTGGGAGGCAGAGGCATGCAGATCTCTGAATTCCAGATCACTCAGAGTTATATGGTTGATATTCTGTCTCAAAACAACAAAACATGGACAACAAACCAAGAAAAGCAAACCAAAAAAAAATACATAACATAAAAGCAATAAGCCACTAATAAATATATATGAAATTGCAATCTTGTTTAATAAACACTGAATTTGGAACTAAGTACCTTCTCCACAGTTTTCTAATAGAGATTCTAACCTTCTAATTGGAGCTAACTTACTGGAAGACAAGACTACTATAAATGTAAACTAATAACAAACAAGAAAAAGTTGTAAGCCAGAGTCTTAGACCATTCGTATTCTCAGGTGAGCAGGGGTTAGAGCAAACTGGTATGTATGAACAGTGGGAAGATACCCGAGCCTGGACATTAGGAGTCCTGTGTTCAGCTCTGCTCTGTATGTCCATTTAAATGTGGGCAAACTTCTTGCTCGTCAGCTAAAATGTCAAGTTAGACAAGAGAACCTCACAGTCTATGATGATGAGTGAGGGAGCTTTCAGAAACACAAAATGTAGACCAGGAAAGTAAAATGGTGTGAAAACAAACATCTAGCAAAGAAAAAGTGATACTCAGCTACTTCTGCACTTGTGGGGAAAAAAGACTTAAAATAAGAAAGAATTTCCATTCTTCTCCCACTTAGAAGAAAAGCAATTTGTTATCAAGGATATATTCACACGTGTATGTGTGTATATACACACACACACATACATACACACCCAATGACTCGGGATTTGAATGTCGTTTTATTGTCAATAGCATAGAATTACTTGTGTGAGCACATTCTAGCACAAACAGGCAGAAAACACAAGATGAAGCATAGAGCAAAACATGCTACATGCACTCCTGTGTGTGCGCCATTCCAGAAACACCAAAGACAGGATTCAGGGACATCTTGGGAAGCACTTTCAGGGCAAAAACATACCAGGCAGCACTCAGAGAAGGACTTTTTAGGAAGCCGTGCAGGAGGAGTTGGGCCCTGATCCCACTCCCAGAATGCCATGGAGTTCTGACAGACCAAAAGTTCCCCCGAAGGCTAAGATGATGGCGATGTTTCAATGACAGAAAAGTAGAAAAAGGAAAAGGAACAAGAAAAAGAAAAAAGCAAAATCTGCATGCATATGATAAGGTCACAGCACAGGAGAGGGCAGTGAGGGAAAAGCAATGGACAAGAAAGGCTTCAGTTTGGAATGAGGTTTTCTGTTGTATTTCTACACATTTGAATTTATGAAACAATGAACAAGATTTTTGTTTGCATTTTTTGATCACGAGATGAAACAATTATTTAAACATAATTTGAATTTTATTTTCAATGAATACAAATAAAGCATATAGATCTATATCTAAAAACAGTTCTGGCACTTCTAAAAAAAATGGTCAGCAAGCCAAAGAGAAAGAATACATTAATATATCTTTACTTACTAACCTTAAATTATATTTGAAATGTAGATATATGTGTACCTCAATGTTGCTCCCTTCAGGAGACCTACTTGCCGAATCTTTGGCCTAAACGCAGCTTCTATTAGATTTAACACTATTTTAGATGAATAAAAGGACAAAACTGGACAAATGCTCTGTTACACTTCAGTATGAAAATGATATTTCAAGTAAGACGGCTGCACCCGGGCAGGCAGCACCCCGGCAGGCGGACCGCATACCTCCCGTAGGTCATTGTCCAGTCCTATGTGCTCAGAATGCTGGCGAAGGCGTTCTTTCCGGCGCTGTGCTGTGGCATTTCGGCTCACCCAGCGACTGGAAAATAAATACACCAAGACAAAATAGACTAAGGAAACCATTCAATTAAAAAGACATGAAGAAATAATGGGCTGGGCAGTGAGTGGTGACACACACCTGTAATTCCAGCACGGAAGGCAGAGGCAGAAGGATCTCTGAGTTGTAGACCAGCCAGGTCTACAGTGAGTTCCTGGACAGCCAGAGCTACATAGAGAAATCCAGTCTCAAAAAACCAAAACAAACCAAAACACTGTGCACTTTTGTCTGGCTTTGAAATCATGATCCTCCTGTCTTCTGTACAACCACCATGCTCAGTTCTTTCAATCAATTCTTTTCAAAATATGCTTAAAGTTTTAATTTTAGATACCATTTAACTTACCCATTCAAAGCACTCAATCTAATGGGTTTTGGATATTCACAACCATCACCACAATTAACACTTTTTAAAAACTGAGATTAGGAACTGGAAGAGAGGTCAGCAATTAGGAGTCCTTGGTGCTTTTCCAGAGAACCTGAGTTTGGTTCCAGCACCTGTAACAGTGTCCAAGGATCTGATGCCCTCTTTCAGCCCCCACGGGATCCACTCTCACGTGACACACTCACAGACACAGACGCACACAAACATTTAAAGGGGAGGTACTAAGTGCTAGATACACATAATAAACATGATAACAAGTCAGACTTTTTTTTTTTGTTTGTTTGTTTGTCAAGACAGGGTTTCTCCTCAGCTTTTGGTTCCTGTCCTGGAACTAGCTCTTGTAGACCAGGCTGGCCTTGAACTCACAGAGATCCACCTGCCTCTGCCTCCCGAGTGCTGGGATTAAAGGCATGTGCCACCACCGCCCAAATTTTTGTAGACATGTGTAGCCCTGGCTGTCTTGGAACTATGTAGACTATACTAGTCTTGAACACAAGATTCCCCCTGCCTCTGTCTCTCCATGCTGGGATTAAAAGTATGCACCACCACACCTAGATCAAGTCGGATCTTAACTCAAGTTTATCCCTGATCATATCAGATAAATGCAGGTCTCCTTGATGTGATCCAAGTAAATATAGGTAAATACTTTTAGCAAAAAGAATATTTTCAAAGTTCATAATTTTTAACACCTTAATTGCAGTGTCCTAAAAGAATAAAATAAATTTATGAGTTTCTACTTTAAAAGATTAATTTTTACTTTAACTATGAATGTACATGTCTATGTGTAGGTATGTGCATGTGAGTGTAGGTACCCATGCATGGCCTAAGACCCAAGGAGCTGGAGTTACAAGTGGGACTGGTCTTGAAGCTGTGCTCCTCCTGTCTCGAACTCCTTTGTGCTAGGATTGCAATTCTCAGCCATCTCGCTTGCTATAAGTTGTATCTCTATTTTTAATGCTTATTATTCTCATGCTTGAAAATGTTTTTTTTATTGTTATATTCATTTCATTGTTAAATTATTTTTTCTTCCTGAAACAGTCTTTCTATGTAGCCCTTGAATTTGCCTCAGTTACCCAAATGCCAAGATTACAGGTATGTACCATCTGGCTGGATTCACTGTTAAATCTTTAACCAAGATAATCCTCATATATACCAATGGTACAACCAACACTTACCAAACAGATGAATGAGAACTATAATGTTCTATAATGAACTATAATGGAAATAAAAACTGCTAGGCCAACAGTGTACTCATTCATATCAAAGCGATTCAAACAACTCTAGAACATTTACGAGTAAAAGAAAACTTGAGACCTGGGGCTGTAGTTCAGTTGGCAGAATTCTCACTCCATCCTCTCCAGCGTCAAGTAAAACAGAAGGCTGATCAACACCTGCAGTCCCAGTACTCTAGACACAGGCAGGGTGAGATCACACCTGCAGTCCCAGTACTCGAGACACGGGCAAGGTGTCTGCATCACACCCTGTCCCTGAAAGGCGCAGGGACCACTGCACAGGGAATGAAAAGACGGCAGAAGCCAGGGACTGAGGAGAAAGGTTGTGAAGCTGCTTTCCATCCAGGACAGGGCCGTTTCACCAATGAACTCACACTGGCTGTGTGGCTGCCTCTGCCTGCAAGACAGTCAGAACGCCAGCATTCACCAAGTCCCACTTCTACCCAAAGAGCGGCTGCTGGAGGAGGGAGAGTCAGGTTTCCTCAGGGCACATGGTCCCTGCTAGGTCGCCCATGCTCCAGAGGCTGGTCCTACCCTCTCTCATACTGCCAGCACTCATTAGACTCAGTGGTCTAAAATATAAATAAATAAATGTGGACATTAGGAGTGTGTGTGTGTGTCACTCAGGCAGACACACGCTTACTTGTTATTGGCCGGTCCTGCCGCCAAGACGTCGGACTGCAGCTTTGGGAAGAACCCTTGCTCATATTTGCCTTGGCCGATTTTCATATCAAGTAGATGTGGGTGAATTGCAGTGTGATCCATTTTCATCAGTCTTTGCTCAATTGACTGGGCTATAAATTAAATTTATCATAAATTAGAGGCATTTCATTCCCAAAATACGGTATCATATATTCATGCACCTACAGAAAACTGAAATCATCCCATCACTCAGAAACAGATTTTTACAAAGGCCATTGATAATCAGGGATATGACTTTAGAAAGATTACTTTTAAATAAATAATGAAAATATTATATACACATACACATGTCCACAGGTGATATGGGAGTGTCATATATCAATCTGTTGATTTCATTGGTTAATTAAAGAAACTGCTTGCCCTGATAGGTTAAAACATAGGTGGGAGGAGTAAACAGGAGGAAGAGGAGGTGAGGTAAGACTCCTCAGACAGACGCGATATAGCTCTGCTCTCAGAGACACACAGGATGAAGCTCCGACTCAGGATGGACGTAGGATAGAATCTTCCCGGTAAGCGCACCTTGGGGTGCTTACACACATTATTAGAAATGGGCTAGGTGCGAGAGCTAGCCGAGAAGAGGCTAGATATAATGGGCAAGCAGTGTTTAAAAGAATACAATTGAATTCAAACCTTTCTTATGCAATTTATTGAGACTGTTTCAGAACAGAGTATAAAGTGCCTGTGTGCTTCTCTGTTATGCCCAAGGCAAGGCCCTATCTTCAGTTCCCAGCACTGAAAACAAACGCACGCAGGCACTTGCACCAAACCAACATCTGTGTCAGATGGGGGAGCCATAGACTACAGCCTCCTTTTACAGTTTCAAGTCTTTAACTTCCTGGGAACCTCATCTTATTTTCAGGCATGCTAAGTCTATAATGGAACATTTTCAAAAGTGCTTCACACAATTTCACGATGAGAGTGGGATTCTCAGGCTCCAAGAGGCAGAGAGAACCCCATTTTAACTGCTAAGATTTTCCAGATACATGTTAAGCTAAGAAGCTGGGACTTCATCCCGTGAGTTCAAAGCCAGCCTGGTCTACAGGGTAAGTTCCAGAACAGCCAGAGATACACAGAGGAAAACAAAAACAACAAACGCCCCCCCAAAGGCTAAAACAACTTTATTACTCCCACGACTGAGCTATTTAAATGAAGATGGAAAGGAAGGGACAAGCGAGCAACAGAAGCAGAACAAGGAAGCTACATTTCCGTTGTGTGCTTTCATCCACTACAAAGTTTTGGTCTCAAATAAAAAGTGTCACTCTTTTCTTCTGAGACAGGCTAGCCTCGAACTCAGAGAGAGCTGCCTGCCTCTACACCCCAGTGTGGGGATTAAAGGTGTGCGCCACTACTGCCCAGCAAAAGTACTACTTTTTATTGAATGGAAAGAAATAAAAGGATATTTCTATTCCGCAAAGAATGGGCTGGGAACTAGGCATAAATATGCAAAGCTACATGAATTGGTACATTTTACATTTTTGTTAATGAATAAAACCACTAATAAAAGAATAAGGCTTTAGGTACTCGAAATCAGTCAGGTCTGCATCCACTCATGGCTCCACTGAGAACCAGTTACAGAACCACAGCCAAATCCTTCAACCTCTCAGTTTCCTCGCTCACAGAATGATAATAAGGCAACAACAAACAGCCGTGCGCACCCTGTCACCAGGACTGCATGTGAAGACACATCAAGACAAGCATGGCCACATAGGAAGGACTCAAATGTTAGCTATTATTTATTTAACGGAATGTATCTCACAACCAGACAAGTCCAGAAAAATTCATAATTCTTTCAGAGAAACTGGTGTTAGGGTTGGGGAAACCTTTAATTTGAATGAAAAAACCCAGAGATTTAATTTCAAGACATGGAACTATATAACTAACTGTACCACAAAGCAAACAAGTACTGTTTTAGCTATGTAAACTAGACAGCATCTCAGATTTCCTTTTTGTTTTTATTTTAGACAAAATCTTGCCTTAAACTACTGGTCCTTCTGTTTTGGCTTCCTGAGTGCTAGGATTCAGACATGTTCCACTGTGCTTTGGCTTAACTATTTTAGTTAACAGCTAGAGACAAGAGGTGACGGGCAAAGAGGCAGCATAAGTACCAAGATGGAGATTAACATTTTTTTTTCTAACACAAGGAAATAACAAAAATCTGCATCTTTTGAATGTCCATAAAAATAGAGATTCACAGAAGTCTGAAGAAAAGTATAAAAGCTTCTTGATAACACTAGGATTAGTCAATGATGTCTCAAAAAGAAAATTAGCTTCAGGCAGGCAGTGGTGGTGCACTCCTTTAGTCCCAGCCACTTGGGAGGCAGAGACAGGCGGATCTCTGAATTTGAGACCAGCCTGACCTACAGAACAAGTTGTAGGATAGCCAGGGTTACACAGAGAAACCCTGTCTTCATAAACAAAAACAAAATTAACTTTGTGCTGTATAACTCAACAGTCTATAAAAAGAAATATCATGAATTAAAAAAAAAAGGCTGGCAAATATACCTGCTTCTTTTAAACTGCTGCATTTCTGATAGATAGAAGTCCGCAGGGTGGGGGTGGGCGCCCTTACGTTATACAACCTTATCTTCTCAATCCGAGAGTCAAAGACCCGAAGCAGAGGGTCCTTCTCTTCCCACTGAGACATGATTTTATTATCAATAAAGGTGGCGAACATCTGTGTTTCAATGAAGCGTGAAAGAAACGGCAGGTAAGGCTCAGGCTGGTCAGAGAGGAAGGACGCCTGCAATGAGATGATTAGCGAATTATTAATGAGGTCACCTTAATGTCATAGAAGATGAACATGAACAGTGTGCTAAGGTTATCATTCTTCAAACTTAGATAAAACTGATGTTAGACATTTAAAGTCTTACAGATCTATTTGTTTTTCCTTTCCTCTAAATTTCTAGGTTTTTTGGTCACTTAGGACTTTAGCATTGATCTTACCTTTCAAACCTGATTTACACTGGTACCATTATGCAGAAGAGAGGAATCATCAGTGAACGATGGTGGATAAGGTGCTATACAACGGATGTCAATCATCCACTTCACCTACCACTACAGCTGGTTCTTCTTCCCAGGGAGTAATCTCTTCTGTTCCCTGTTCCTAGCCTAGAAATGGACCTCTAACCAAAAGGCCGCAAGATGAGCGAGTGACTATATATCAGATTATATACATATCAAAATTATATATCAGATATGTATATATACACATATATGCACAATAATTTGCATATGTTTATGCAAGAATTTAAAATAACATGGAATTTGTGCCTATGGGTAAAATTCTTTTGCTCTTCAAGCAGATGTTTTTCTAACTCAAGATTAAACTCCTTTCATACCTATGTTAACACAATTGTCTGTGATTTAAAGAGAGAAAACACTGCCTTAAAAAACAAAAAATATACACGGGGATCTTCAAAATGATACAAGCTGTTCTTCCCTCTTACTGGCTTGCGTGATGCAACAGATTATAACTGGCTTCTATCTGAAGCGCTCACATTCTTGTTTCCAGTTCATGTATACCGTACATAGGAATTCTAAGCTTGGTTACGATGAGCTGAAACTTATAAGTGAACTCCTATTCCAGCCGCTGGGTTGGTTTTGTTTTTCATTCTTTGACTCTTCAAAGTTAGATGCGGTGTCAGAGTCAGAGGAGAAAGGGGAAAGGTAGTTCCAACATAAAGTTGCTATTGTTAGTATTCATCAAGTTTCTTCCTAGAATATTTAATTTTTCCATTTATTACTTCAGGGGATTTTTAATAAAAGCTTCTTTACAGAGCCCACTTTTCAATTGAAAGCCTGCATAGTTTAATGTACTTATATAAGTACACATATCCATATCCAGATAGACTCACAGCAGTCTCTAGAAATCAGTTCGTTTCCTTAATGTTATTTCATAAACATTGAATTTACTTTTTATAGGACAGGCATCTCTCCCTCTGAAAATGGGTCAAACATCAGCTTTTGATGTTCAGATTCTTGTGTCCTATAACATTTAAAATCACCCAGAAGTTGAATTTTCAAGACTACTCTGCCCTGCATATTTCCTTAGTGGAAAATAAGATGATTCTAGCTTTCTGGAATCCAACACGTGAATTCCATTTTCTTAGGGGTTATACAGAAAGAAATCCACTTCTAATATAAAACTACAGAGAATAAAAAAGAACAAGGTATTAGGATATTAACTTAAATCAGAATTTGAATAGCCTCAAAGATAGATCATGAATGTGGAAGATTAGTTCTTAAAGTGGAGAAAAGTATAATAAAAGCTAAGCAAAAATGGGAACAGGTCCTAGAGCAGAAATATATTTAAAAAGTGGTTTCTTAATATTAAAGAAGTTTAATCAGACATAAAGTACACCAGCAAATTCTGATGCACACAGTATATTATCCTACAAGAAAAAATATGATAACACCAGAAAATAATCTTTGATACTACACAAACATTTAATAAATACCTATTTGTCAGATGCTTCAAAATTAAACACAGTATCTTGGAGTGTAATAGCTCCTTTGGGAAGGTTTTTTAAGACACATTCTAACAGCAGAACTACACTTGCGCAGTAACAGCGTCCTAGCGACCTAAAGGACTCCACAGACATCTCTCCTGCTTTTGTCTGTTGGAAGAGATCTAGGGTGCAGGAAGAACACTGGAGGGGATAAAGCAAACCTTAGAGAAAAGCTTCAGAGGACAGCAAAAAGTTTCCCTCTCTAAAAACTTTGGAATATAATCTTAGACTAGCAGTCATGAACCCAAATTTACCCATTTGTTCTCTTTTAAGATACAAAAGATGTGAAATTAGCCTTATGAAACCTGTCAACCTTTAGATTAACAAGCTGGGTGTTACATCACTGGGTGACGGCTATCAGTGAGAATCTCTTAGAAAAGGAATGGGCTTAAATTTTATAGAGTTGGTCATGAAACAATAGTAAACAAAACTCTTACGGGAGCAGAAGACTCATGAAGATCAAGATCATATATGTGATATAATAATTTAATATTCAATTCAAAAGCCAGTTTTATGAGCGGTCAATTTGCTCTTTTGAGACTGGTCTTGGGTTGCCCAGGCTGGTCTCAAACTTACTACGTAGCAGAGGGTGGTCTTGCATTCCTGACCCTCCTGCTTCTACCTCCCAAGGATTTGCTTTCTTGTGAAACTACTTTATCTAGCATGAAAAACTTAGTGGGATGGAAGAAAGGAAAAACCTGTGCTTAAAAAGTTAAAAAGACTAGTAATGTAGGTCATTGCAACCATAGAGAGGAAAACTACGGTTCTTTTTACTTTGTCAAAGTTCTGCATCTGCTCCCGGTTGGTCAGCCAGGCCTCCATGTCCTGGGCGGTCTGAATCACAAATGCTTCATAATCCGCAAACATCTGTATAAAGCGGCTGGCAAAGACCTCTCGTACTTGTACGTTGAGTTGGTAGTCTCTCAATTCTGCCTCTTCACACTGTAATTTCAAATCCTTTTCTTTTTCATTCAGAGACGCTGAGAGGTCAATTTTTTGCACAGTCACACCAGTCCTATCAGCAAGAGCCTGGAGGCGGGCTATGGTTTCATTGCCCTTCATTAACTCGTACATGCTGATGTTGCTGGTGGGGACATTGCCGTTCTTTCTGTCGTTAACCAGGTCTTTCAGAACCATGTTCTTCAGTTTGGTGGCACTCTCGCTACAATGGAGGCTGCCTTCAGGAGGAATCCCAAATTGGAGAAGAACTTCAGACAGCTCTTGGATAAAATCCACCTTATTGGGGAACTGTGGAAATTCTTCAGGCAATTCAATAAAATGGTTGTCAATATCCACAAAACACAAATTAGCCTGAAATAGAAAAAAAAAATCACAAATGTTTTGTGAAAATGTACAAGGCCAACTTATTAAAACTTAAATGACTTCAAGAGGGCTCCAATATTGTAGATCCAAAGCCAAGTTATCTTGGGCTATATTTAGCCTTCTAAATAGCATTACTGTCCACCTGTGATTGGCCTAACATCTTCGTAAGTTAGAAATTTACCAATGAGACCCTTTAGCTCCCACCAACCTTGTGGAACTATTTTATCTGCATAAAATATTTAATGGTTAAGAATTGTCACAGAATATTTTTACTGTGAAGATATGTCTTTGCCAACGCACCTTCTGGTTGACTTATTAAAGAGCCTAGTGGCCAATACGTGGCCAGGAGAAGACAGGCAGATTTCTGAGGGGAGAGAGAGGAAAAGAAATCTAGGCACATGGATTCCTCCAGAGACTCTGAAGAAGTTGGAGAGACAGTACAGAACAGAGGTTAACTTCTAAGAACTAATTAGGAACAAGCCTAAGCTAAGGCTGAGCACGTCACTGTTGGGGAGCTGGGGGTACGAAGACTTGTTAGAAAGAATGCCATCAAATACTTAAGCTGTAGCAGAGCCTTCCCTGCTTTGCTGTAACCTGCTTACCTAAATTTTCCACCAATGCATTTGAAAAATTCATGAAACTGTTATCACATTAGAACATGCTATTTATTGTCATTTAAATCCTGACTCTCAGGGAAAGATCACTCATATTTATCTCTAGAATAAACATCTCTTATTCCCTTTAAGATGAGAATTGTGCTCCTATGGTGACAACTTGAAAAAAATTTAATGTTCTAAAATATTCTATTATAAACAGAAACAAAGTATACCATGCTTAAACAATTTTAAAAATACCAGACCCCAGGCTAGCCTTGAATATGATATATGATGTGGGAGTGTCATATATCAATCTGTTGATTTCATTGGCTGAGCAATAAAGAAACTGCTTGGCTTAGCTTAGAGCATAGATGGGAGGAGAAAACAGAATAGAATTCTGGGCGGAAGAGGAAGTGAGGTCAGACTCTGCTCTGCTCCCGGAGAGACTCGACAGCTCTGCTATGGAGCAGAGACGCCACGCTTGCCATGCTACACTCTCCCAGGATGGACGAAGGCTAGAATCTTCCTGGTAAGCGCACCTTGGGGTGCTTACACACATCATTAGAAATGGGCTAGTCCAGGTGCGAGAATTAGTCTGTAAGAGCTAGAGTTCATGGGCCAAGCAGTTCTTTAAATGAATACAGTTTGTGTGTTGTTATTTCGGGCGTGAGCTAGCCAAGCGGCTGGGGTGTTGGGGACGCAGCCCCGCCGCTCTTATTTCAACAGATATATAGATAAGATGAACATGACACGCATCTACTTCTGCTTCCTAAATTTTCAGGCAAACACCAACCAGGCCTGGCTCAAAAATTATTTTTTTACACTGCATTTTGTGGTGGGTATGCTTAGTGTGGAAATTGAGACTGGAGCCTTGGGTACCCTAAGAAAGTTCTCTTCAGTACTTTACATGTTACTTTAGGCTCAGAATTTTATCTGTGAGTGAGATGTCAGGGATCGTGCCCAGGACCTTCATCACACTAGGCCTATGCCCCTACACGAAGTTACATAAGCCAGCATATAAGGTCAGAGTCTTTTATTCGTTAATTTTTTTCTAGCACATAAAATAACGTGTTTCATTATAACATTTTCTTTTTATTTTTAATGATTCATTTACTATGTATACAGTGTTCTGCCTGCATGCATGTCTACATACCAGAAGAGGACCTCAGATCTCATTATAGACCACCATGTGGTTGCTGGGAATTGGAACTCGACCTCTGGAAGAACAGCCAGCGCTCTTAACCTTTGAGCCATATCTCCAGCCCCTCATTATGACATTTTCTACATTTATACTTTGGTCATGTTGGCCTGTCATGTTAATGTCATTTACTTTCATGCCTTAAATATATATGTGTACGCATATTATTAAATCTAGATTCTCTATGAGACTTTGTCTTCCTCTCAGTTACCCTCTCAACCTTCCCATTAGGTCCTTCTACCATTTGTGTGTGTGTGTGTGTGTGTGTGTAGTTGGGGGTATGTGTATGCATATATGTATATGTATCTGTGTATATATATCTATATGTGTGTATCTATAGGTGTGCACGTGTACATATGTATGTGTACATGTATGGATATGTGTGTATGTGTGCATGTATGTATGTATGCAGTATGATTAATAAAAACCCAGAGACAGATATTGGGGTTTAACCTGAAGGTTACAAAAGCAAAATAGCCACTGGCTCTTACCTCTGGGTCAGTTCCAAATGGTGATCCTGCCTCCAGGAATCTCAGTATGAGACTGTCTGAGAGCTGTCTCCTCCTGTCTTATGTTCCTCTCTAGGGCTGGGATTAAAGGTGTGCAGCATTACCACCCGGATTCTATGACAAACTAGTGTGGCTGCTGGGATTAAAGTGTGTGTCACCACTGTCTGGTCTGTAAGGATGACCAGTGTGGCTGATTTAATCTCCAATCTTCAGGCAGCCTTTATTTACTAAAATATAAATGAGCCGGGCAGTGTGGCGCACGCTTTTAATACCAACACTCGGGAGGTAGGGGCAGGTGGATCTCTGTGAGTTCGAGGTTAGCCTGGTCTATAAGAGCTAGTTCTAGGACAGCTCCAAAGCTACAGAGAATCCCTGTCTTAAAAAAAAAAAAAAGGAATGAAATATCACTACATATACGTATGTATCTATGTGTGTATGTATCTGTAGCTGTGTACCATATGTGTGTATATGTGTCGCAGGTACATGTTTGTATGTATATATATATGTGTGTGTGTGTGTATGTGCCTGTATGTATGTATGTGTTAAAAATCTAAATTCTACATGAAGAAAACACAGTATTTGTCTTTCTGAGCAGGTTTATTTCTTTAACATGATCTCTAGTTCATCCATTTTCTAACAAACGGCATATTTTCCCTTTTTGTGGCTGAATACATTTCCATTGTGTATGCAAGCCATATTGTTCTTTTTAGTACATCTGTTATACAGCTATACAGACTCCCCATCTTGGCTATCATGAATAGTGAATCAACAAACATGAATATGTAGGGATCTCTGTGGCGTTCAGTCTTAGACTCCTCTGGAAGAGCTCTTAGCTGCTGAGCCACCTCTCCAGCTAACACAGTAAAGACGAACAAGCATGGTTGAAGGTGAGGACAGACTGTGTGATCAATGCTTAGTGCTCACTTTTCTTCCCTTCCCTCCCCCACCCTCCCTAAAAGATAACATAACAAATGGCTACTAACATCTATCATTTTAAATCATGAGGTAAGGGGTAGGTGGTTAATTACAAGTCTAGGCAGCTATATTAGCTACATAACAACTAAAATAATACTTTCCTGAACGTGACATTCTTATAACTATTTTTAGAAACTTTCTTGCTAGATTTAGTCATTTTATTTCAGAGTTTTCAGGGGAACACATTTAAGCACATTTAAGTCTCTTTGAAAAGACTGTTTTACTTTTATTTATTATTTATTTGCTTTGGTTTTTTGAGACAGTGCAATCCTAGCTGTCCTGGAGTTCAGTTTGTAGACTAGGCTGGCCTCAAACTCACAGAGATCTGTCTGCCTCTGCCTCCCAAGTGCAGGGATTAAAGGTGGGTTGATGTGAAATTCCTCTCTGTATGCCATGAATATGTTTTATTAACATTGGTTATTAAAGAAGCTGTTTTGGCCAATGGCTTAGCAGAGCAAAGCTGGGGGGAAATCTGAACAGAGACATATATAGAGAGTAGGCAGAGTCAGAGAGATGCCATATAGCTACTGAAGTAGAAAGATGCCAGCCACCAGTCAGAACCTTACCGGTATGTCACAGCCTCGTGGTGATTCATAGATTAATAGAAATGGGTTTAAGATGTAAGAGTTAGCTAGAAATATGCCTAAGGTATTGGCTAAACAGTATTGCAATTAATACAGCTTCTGTGTTGTATTCGGGACTGGGCGGTGAGGAAACAAGCCTACAGTGGGCACCACTACCACCTCCTTTATTTTTGATTTTTTTGAGACAAGGTCTATTACAGAATATTTGATCATATGATTAGTCCTGAGGTTGCATTATTTGCTGGAAAAAACTGTTTCTAGCTGTGGTGTGGCTCAGTTATAGCGTGCACCTTTAATCTAAGAGCTTTCTGCTTGAATATTGTAAAAAGGATTAAATAAAGTCAACATGGGTCAAAAGGTGGAACAAGCAACCAATGGATAAGAAAAAACCATAGAGAGTAATAGAGAGTCAGGAGAGCGGAGAGAGAGATGCATAGGAAAGAGAAGGGAGGGACATCCAGTTGGAGTTTTGTAGGAGAAAGTGTGGACATCAGAGAGGAGGAAGGTCAGCTGTGTGCTTTCTCTGCCTCTCTGAGATAGCAGGTTTTCACCCCAGCATCTTGCTCCGAAGTCGTTATTGGCAATATTTAACATTTGAGATTTTTTAAAAAATGTCTCTCTCTGTGTAGCTCTGGCTCTCCTGGAACTCTCTATGTAAACCAGGCTGGCTTTGAACTCACAGACATCTACCTTCATCTGATTCCAAAGTGCTGCAATTAAAGGTGTGCAACACCACACCTAGCTTAAAATATTTTTATGTCCTCCTTAAATTACGTGAAGCTGGTTGTTTCATGTCACTATGTCACTATAGAGTGCTTCCAGAGAGAAAAGAGACACGTTGTTAACTTTTTCTTCTAAAACACTTAGACTTTTTTTCTCCCCTGAGACAGGGTTTTTCTGTGTAGCCCTGGCTGTCCTGGAACTCAAGAGATCTAGCAGTCTCTACCTCCCCAGTACTGGGATTAAAGGCATGCACCACCACATCTGGTCAATGATACTCTTTAATGTGTGGTTTCTACACAGAAACACTGCTTACAATGTAGTGATATTTTGTTTGTGTTTTAACAAATAAAGCTTGCCTGAAGATCAGAGTACAGAGGGGTCTCTGTTAGTTCAAGGCCACCCTAGCCTACACAAGATTGAATTTGTCTAAAAGAGAAACAGAGCTCACACACAGGTGATCTCAGCACTTGGGATCCCACACCTTTAATCCCAGCACTAGGGAGGTGGAGAAAGGGCTGGACGGAGAGAGGAATATAAGGCGGGAGGAGACAGCTCAGTGCAGTCTGAGGATTGGTGGAGACAGCTGCAGCCTGAAGACTGTCCCCACATTCTGAGGATGCAGTCTGAGGACAGGATCACTCGCCCTTCAGTCTGAGCAGTGGAAGAGGTAAAAGGTCTCTCTAGTGGCCGGCTGCACTGCTTCTCTGATCCCTCAGCTTTCAGCCCCTAAAATCTGACTCGGGTTTTATTTATTAAGACCAATGAGAATTTGTGCCACATGACTTTTACAGCTGATTCGCTATTTCATATTATCTCACGGATGAGTTTGTATATTTATTAAATAATGTTGAGATCATGATTGGAAAAAAACAACTAGAAAATCACAGACATCATTTTGAGAGCTTTTAGAAATTTTAACTGGCTTATTTTTAGGGTCAAATGATATAAGCAGACAGAGAAAAGTCTTCCAACTGTATGTAGACTAAGTTGCATTAAAGTATATCAACAAGTATTCATAGAAATCAGAAAGAACTTATATATTTAAATAAATTTTCTTCTATCTTTGACAAACAATTTATAATATATAATCAATAAAAAACTAAAACATTAAGTCTTTAAAAAAAAACAAAAAATCTGTCTGGCTAGTAGACTATTTCTTTTCCTTTGAAAATGTAGAGTCTTTAATTCTTGTCAGGCATGGTAGTGCACACCTTTAATCCCAGCACTCAGGGTGAATCTCTGAGTTTGAGGTCAGCCTGGTTGATGGAGGAAGGTCATTGAGCAATAAAGAAACTGCTTGGCTGGCCCTGATAGGTTAAAACATAGGTGGGAGGAGTAAACAGAATAGAATTCTGGGCGGAAGAGGAAGTGAGGTCAGACTCTGCTCTGCTCCCGGACAGGATGGACGGTGGTTGCCATGCTCTGCTCTCCCAGGCAACTCCAACCCAGGATGGACGGAGGCTAGAATCTTCCCGATAAGCGCACCTTGGGGTGCTTACACAGATGATTAGAAATGGGCTAGTCCAGGTGCGAGAATTAGCCTGTAAGGGCTAGAGTTTGTGGGCCAAGCAGTTCTTTAAATGAATACAGTTTGTGTGTTATTTCGGGCATGAGCTAGCCAAGCGGCCGGGGTGTTGGGGATGCAGCCCCGCTGCTCATATTTCAACACCTGGTCTAGAGTAATTTCCAGGGCAGCCAGGGCTATACAGAGAAACCATGTCTGGGGGGGGGGGGGAAGACGAATTTAATTATTTCGAACTGACAAGATACATTAACATAATTCGGAAGAAAACAAGAAAACTCAGGAAGTAGAGAGGATGACAGCAGTCAGTCCCCCACTCTCTCCACAGCAGACACGACAATATGCAGGGTTCATACGCCCTCAAGCAAGCTGTTTCCCCTGTGGTGGACTGAACAGTTATGGCCCTCTTAGATTCAGGCATTTGACTGCTTGGCCCATTTTGAGTGTCACTATTAGGAGGTGTGGCCTTGTTGGAGTAGGGTCACTGTAGAGGCTGGCTTTGAGGTCATAAATGCTCAGGCTGGGCCTCGTGACTCAGTTTTCACTTCTGCCTGTGGATCGTAGAATCTCAGCTCCTGCTCTTGCACCATGTCTCCCTGCATGCTGGCATGCTCTGCTGTGATGACAATGGACTAAACCTCTGAAACCGCAAGCCAGTCCCAATTACATGCTTTCCTTTATAAGAGTTACAGTGGTCATGGTGTCTCTTCACAGCAACAGAATCCTAACTAAGACATCCCTTTGAATCACAAAGTTAATTTTGGCAAAGCAACACGGATGTCTGATTATAGGATTTCTTCCTTCTTTCCTTCCTTTTTTTTTGGGGGGAGGGGAGGTTTATTGAGACAGTGTTCCTCTGTGTAGCCCTAGCTATCCTGGAACTTGCTCTATAGACCAGGCTGGCCTCAAAGTCACAGAGATTCATTTGCCTCTGACTCCTGAGTGCTTGGATTAAGGGTGTGCACCACCACTGCCTGGCCCTTGTATTCACTTCTTAAAATGAGAACAAGTTAAAGTGAAGCTCAGTTAAGAGGAATTTTATTAAGAAAGGTGATAATTAAATAGCTAATAATATAATTAATCATTATGTTTTAAATAAGCCATATCATCCTCATCAATATTTCATTTCAAGGCTTTCCATTCCAATTTTGAGTAGCATTAACAAGAGCAAAAATTTAAATTTAATATGTTTTCAATTACTCTTGATTATTTTATTCCTAAATATTTAAAAATACAATTCAGAGAAAGAATAATACCAACAAGCTAGGGGTTAAACTTCTGTCTCACAGATCATGCCAGCATTAAGAACGGCCAATCACTGGCCACAGCCGAAGATGGCAAGCAGTGACGTACCTGCTGTCTCCACTGTCCCGCTTGCTGAGACATATTACTTTCCATTCAATGGAGGTAAAAAATAAAATTTAACTCAGTTAAAAATAATTTTAAAGGAATACTAAGTCTGGACTATATACTGCTTACGATGGCTATTCGTGGTTGTCAACATGACAACATCTGGAGCTAACCAAACCCCAGAACGGAGGGCACCTGTGAGGTAGTTTTGCTTATTCTGAAGTAGAAGATCCACTTACAATCCAGATCTTCCATGCCTTCTGCCGACATAAGGACAAGTAAGAAGGACGCCTCTTTCTCTGACTGCTTGCTCTCATCCTGCTGGCAAGTCTATTCTTTCACTGGCATCAAATATACATACATACACATATGATTGATATGTATATATGATGAATATATATATGCATATTCATTCTACAAATTCTATTACTTTAGAGTACCGTAATACACTGCTCCAAAACAAAATTTATAGCATGAGGATGAAGAAAAAGTTAAATTATTTTAGGATAATAAAATGGTAATATCACACTACTATTGAACCACCTTCAGAAGTGTATAGCTGTGAAATTTGTCATTGTCCTCTCTGAAGTGTATTTAACTAGTATTTGTGCTGCATCAAGTATCAGAGAAACAGTTTGCAGGCTAGGGCTCAGGCCCTAACCAACAGTACCGGGAAGACTCAGGCGTAACTACTGCACAAAGACAATGTCATGTAATAAAAGCCATGACTGAAGTCAACAAACGCTTTACCTCTTGTGGAAGTTCTAATTTAGACCGGTCAGTTCCTTCTTTTGATTGAAGACCCATCAGGTAAGGGACAGGGGCATCGAGAAAATGCAGCAGAGAGGCAGGGAGGATGGGCACATAAACATGCTGCCACTGAAACGGGAAGAGGAGTGTGGTGATGCCTTCCGCCACAGTCATCAGGCGCTGGTAATCTGTATGGACGAGAGGAAGGAAAGGGAAACAAGGGCTGCAGCTAACAGAAAATATCAGAAAAAATTGTGCTAAAATACATATTTTTGTACTGGAGAGATGGTTCACTGGTTTAGAGTACTTACTGCTCTTAGAGGACCTGAGTTCAATGCCCAGCACCCATATGATGCCTAACAAAAATCAGCAACTCCCGTTCCAGAGGATCTGACCCCCTCTTCTGACCAGGCACACGGTGCACAAGGACACATGCACACAAAATAGTCATAGACAGGATCACGGAGGAAGGCGGCCAGTTCTAGCTCATCATAGGTAGCGAGTTAACTTATTTCACCTGAGTAGCTTGCACAAAGTCTGGGGGCAGGATCACGGCTCTTCCTGGAAGCTCTGGACCTGAGTCATTTGCATCCTCTTCCTTTACAGACCACAATTCAGAGACCAGCATTTCCAGAGCTGGGATCAAAGGCACGTGCCATTATGCACACACAGCCCTGAATTCTCTTAAAATGTGGAGGAGTCAAAACCTAATAAATTGTTTTTGCTCTCTAGCCTTCTGAAAAAGTACAACATTGTTGCTATGAATCACTTTCATACACACACACACACACACACACACACACACAAAATCTCCAATTCAGAGGTTAATTTTTCTCTCCTTGTGTAGATGATCATGGCTACAACTTTGATAATCTGATTTTTTTAAGATAATATTATTTTAGCGCTTATTTTGTAAGTATAAAAAAAAAATCAAGAGAGCTGTGCAGGCGGTGGGCGGCTCTCGTATCTCTCGGTGACCTCTGCTGAGGCCTGCGGTTCTGCCGAGCTACCATGTTGCAGAGCAGGGAGGAGAGCCTGCAGGGCTCCTGGGTAGAACTGCACTTCAGCAATGGGAACAGGAGCAGTGTTCCAGCCTCTGTCTCCATTTATAAAGGGGATATGGAAAAAAATACTGCTGGATGTTCAGCATGAATCTGGACGAAGTAGCTCCAAGAGCTCTCATTGTGCCAGACCACCTCGCGCCCAGACACCACAAGATACAAACAGATCTGAAACAGACACTCACAGCTTTGGAGAGAAAAACAGCACTCTGTCTGAGGAAGATTCTGTTGAGAGAAGAGAGGTTGAAAGCATCTTGAGGAAAAACTCGGACTGGATATGGGATTGGTCAAGTGGGCCAGAAAATATCCCCACCATGTAGTTGTTCTGCCCCCCTTCTTGCTTTGTAGGATAATTCCAGCCTCCTTGTCGGCCATCACTGCCTTGGGCGGTCAGTTTTGTTGCTGGCACCTTCATCATTCTGCTGATTTTAAATCCCATTGTTTGTACTTAAAATTTTGTATGCTTTTAAAATCAGCTGTATTAGTTTGAGGCCAGCCTGGTCTACAAGAGCTAGTTCCGGGGACAGGAACCAAAGCTACAGAGAAATCCTGTCTCGAAAAACCAAAAAAATAAAATAAAATAAAATCAGCTGTATTGTAAGCAAATCTGTCTACTTTAAAAGACTGGAAATGAAAATAATCTTTGCCAAATCCTTTGGAGATCACTGGATTTGTATATGGGTTAATCAGTATTCAGTGCTTCTGTTATCCAGGTATATTCCCAGCCTTCTTCTTTCCTATAGCATGGTTTTGAAGGCTGCCTCCTCAACGTGCTGTATATATCCTGTTGTGTTTGTTTCACTGTCCCACACTTAGCTCAGGTGAGTTAAAATAAAAGAAACGTTTTAACGGTCAAAAAAAAAAAAAATCAGAGCTGAGTGATGGTGGTGCATGCCTTTAATCCCAGGACTCAGAAGGCAGAGGAAGAAGAATCCCTGTGAGTTCAAGGCCAGCCTGGTCTACAGAGTGAGTTCTAGGCCTGTTACACAGAGAAACCTGTCATTAAAAAACAAAACAAAACAAAAAACAGACAAAACACAGTCACATTTTCTATATTTAACTCCTAACTACAGAATATAAAATCTTAGGAAAAAAAGAATTACCATATAATTAAAGGATTTTTGTTTTGTTTTGTTTTTCAAGACAGGGTTTCTCTGTAGCTTTGCAAAGTGTTCTGAAACTCACTCTGTAGACCAGGCTGGCCGTGAACTCACAGAGATCCACCTGCCTCTACCTGCAAAGTGCTGAGATTAGCGTGCACCACCATGCCCACCTCTGGTTGTCTTTACATGAAATTATTTGTCAAAACCAGCAACTGTCCATGATATTATGCATGCCCTCTTAAACAGTCTGCCTTAGATGTTCTGTACTTCGACGTGTTCAAAATTCCTACTTAAATCCTTGGAGGCAGACAGATATGTTTTAGAATTAGATTTCTTTTTAGACTTTAAAAGGCGATAACATGTTTAGATTATAATCTCTGATAGGGATGAAGCTTATAAACAACATTAATATTTTCAGAGCAAGCCATGTAAGTGTTTTATAGGGAAGAGAGAAAACATAAATAAATTTAATTTGGTTCTGATCTGGTTTTGTTGACAATAAATCAGTTACAAAAATAATCATTTTCAGAACTGTTTTAGATTTGGGAATTAAAGATAAGGGATTGTGGACTCAAAAGAATTTCATAGAATTCAGTGTACACAATTACATTAAAACCCGGGGAATACTTTGGTATTTGCTAAAGGTTAAGAAAAACGGTCAGCTGTTACTTGGTTCATTTGACCAAGTACAAAAAGGATGTTTTCCACTTAAAATTTTTGTGCCATTCTATCATTAAAATGTTTTAAAGATTCATTTTTGTTATTTTTAAATTATATGTATATGGGGGGGAAGGCACGTGCATATGAGGGAAGCTACCCTTGGGGTACAGAAGGGAGTGCTGGATCTGGCAGACGACCTAGACTCGATTCCTAGCATCCACATGGTAGCTCACAACCATCCATGCTTCCAAGAGAGCCAATGACCTCCCTCTCCTTACATCCAAGGGCACCAGGCATGCACGTGCTGCATAGACACACATGCAGACAAAACGTTCATTCACATTAAAGAAAATAATTTTTTTTTTTTTTTTTTTGCTTTTTCGAGACAGGGTTTCTCTGTGGTTTTGGAGCCTGTCCTGGAACTAGCTCTTGTAGACCAGGCTGGTCTAGAACTCACAGAGATCCACCTGCCTCTGCCTCCCAAGTGCTGGGATTAAAGGTGTGCTCCACCACCGCCCGGCTTAAAGAAAATAAATTTAAAAGAAAAAATTTAAATTACAATTATGTATATAATTGGGGAGGAAGTCACAGGACAACCTGCCGGGAATTGGTTCTTTTCTACCACTACGGTGGTCCTGGGGTGGACTTCAGGTCATCAGGTTTAGCGGCAAGCACCTTCACCCGCTGAGTTATCTTACGAGACCACGTTTTCGGTCTGTACTTGAAACAACATTTTTAATAGATATTGTATTTTACAAATACACTGAGAATTATGCTGTACTGCCTGAACTGGATGCTTCTGGGGCCCCATCTGCACAATACTTTATTTGCAGTTAAACCTGTAACGGAGGAACCCTCATTTTTATTGAACTTTATCATTTTTTAGATGGATGCCTAGTTATTAACAGCTCAACTATACTTGAAATCTTCATTGCTTTAATAAAATTTAGGTGGAACTTACTTAACATGCATAGTCCTAAGACAAACACTAGTGGTCTGAAGGGTTGGGGTGAGTCGCGAGTACAAAGAGCTGACCTAATTATTTGGTAGGTATGGATGGACACACACACACACAACCATTTGATATTCACAGAAGCAGGACTAGGAAAGTTGGTACTAGAGGGGAAGAGATCAAAAACAATCAAATAGTTACCTACTGTTCTGCTAGTGATCAGGCAAGATGCCTGGGTGGGAACGGGAACAGAAAGCTGACCTGAAAATTCCTTGGGTTGGCCGAGTGGCCTTTAGGTTTAGACAGCATGCACCGTCAAACTAACTTTACTTCTGCAGTATGCCTCATTATGTCAGGTACCCCACGGCACTCTCTCCTCCCCCACAAATTCTGCCTGGGAAGTGGAGCATCTGTTCACAAAGCACATTGCTAGTGACGAATAAAAGTTACAGACCAGACCAAATTTATTAGTAATGGCAGAGAAGAAATATGCACACTCTTCAGGAACTGTCAAACATCTTAGTGAAGAAATACTATCATAGTATATGTGATCTATGGTGCATATAAAGCTGTAACTGGGATTAAGAATGTAGGTTAGTGGCAGAGCATTTGCTTAGTATGCATCAGAGTGAACCTGGTTCCATCTGTGTGTGTGTGTGTGTATTTTGTGGATCACAGAATAACATTGTTATTCTTTTGTGGTTGCTGAAGTCCTACAGAAAAGTATGACTTAGGGCTGGAGAGATGGCTCAGCAGCTGCTAAGAGCACTGGCTGCTCTTCCAGAGGTTCTGAGTTCAATTCCCAGCAATCATGTAGTGGCTCATAACCATCTGTAATGAGATCTGGTGCCTGCTTCTGGCATCCAGGAAGAACAATGTATACATAATAAACAAACAAATAAATCTTAAAAGTATGGCCTAGATGTGAGCACCAGATCAGCCTGCAGAAACAGTAAGGGCTGTCGGTTCTAAGACACCAGTGTCTGCTTTTTTTTTACTTCTTTCTCCATCACATGGCAAGTAACGAGAAAGGTTAACTTGGAGTTTTAAGCAAATTATGCACCAATTATTCATTAATGTCTCTCAGCTCCAAATTCATCCTCTAACCATTCTGACAATGGATACAATACTCAGCTTTGCCAGCAGAGGGCAACGGAGACACGCTGTTTCCTGGTCCCAGCATGCAGCAGGTCTTGCTACTGCAGCCTGGAGGACCAGCAGTACGGGTGTGTGAAGACACCTGGTGGCACACCGCTCTGCCACATGCCAAGAATGGCAGTCGGTGGATTCCACTTTCTATGGTCCTCCAATACACTGCATATTCAGACCTCACACTACAGTGACATCCAGAAAATCACCAGCCAGACAACATGGGCCTTGGACTTTGTCTTGTTAGGTCAGTGACAAGAATC